TTCAGCAGCTGCCGTGTGCAGCGGTTTCTTCCCACATCTTAGGTAGAATCATTTCATTGTGCATGGATAATTATCTCACCTTAGTATTACTGTTGTATGATAGGTTTGGTTAATTTAGGGCAGCATCCTAAGAGGAATAAGAAGAAAAGATTTCACATGAATTTGTGAAACTGTATAGCCCTTGTCCTATAAAATCTGTGTTGTTGTATCTTTGTATTAAAACAAATGACACGTAGGTAACTAACTCCCGTACCTATAGTGTCATAGAAACACTTGACTTGTGCAATAGAACATGCACAGTGTAATATTTATGACTACTGATTCATGGAATAGTCTGCTATATTATAGATTGTGTGTATACGCTCTGTAAACTGAGAACTGTATAGTGCTTATGTTACCTGCTTTTTTTATTCACTCTGAATGAGCTTGCTGCACTCTGCAGGCGGCTTAGTTTCATTTCCACCAGTTATCACAAGGTTTTAACCCCACAAAGCATTACGTTGCTCACTTGCCAGAAAAGTAGTTGCTTTTATAAAAGTAGTAGATTTTATAAAGGTTATGTTATTATTTGTTTTTAATTGGCCTTGAATCGTTTCCACAGAATCCTAGCCTGCTCCTGCTCCAAACAGGAGACAACATTCTGAGTAAAACTTGCCACTTATGTGTTGGTTTGTACCAAGGATAAAGGTAAAAATAATAAATAAATAAAATGTGTGTACTTTAGTTTACTGTGTGGATTTCTATATTCTGTACAATCTTTGCAGTATATTTAAAGGAAAGTTCTTGGAGTAGAAATCATGATGGGGAGGGGGGGTTAGTTGGGGTTTGGGACTGTGTGCCATGGTTTGAATCCTGGTGAGTCTGCTTCAAAATCTCCTGTTGGAGTATGAGGGGTGTGAATGCATTGAAGCATATGGATATCATTATAGACTCCTGTTCATACTGTATATTAAAATAAACCACCCTTATAATAAGTTGTGTGTCTGTCTTTAAAATCCAAATGCATTTAAGCTATTCAGAGAAAGGGCCTAAAGCAGATAAAGATACAGCGACTTTTACTACACACTACAGTGTGTTTTATTATTTTTCTTTTATTATTATTATATAAAAGTTACAACTTTCAGTCTCAAGTATCCTCCTTAACTCTGACTAGCATTCTTGTCCCCACAGCATGACGCTGCCATAGTAATATTTCACCATGGTGATGGTCTGTTCAAGGAGATCGACAAAGTTAATTACTACATAAAAGCTTTGCGATGTTGGCCAGAATTAGGGCTGTATGATTAATCGATAAAATCAATTAAACAAATCTTGTTAATGGTGATTACTTATGGTGAATTTAAGATTTTTTTTCAGTAATGTAAGCTAGTTTGTTAAGGCAGTATTTTTATTTTTTATTATGAAACAAGTGAGAAAAATTAAAAGGAGATTAGGTAGGGAAGAATTTAAGATGAGATTTTCGAGCTATATTGCCTGATTTAGCCAAAATGTTTTGATTTAATCCAAGTGCAGGTTCCCGTTCACATATTTGCTCTCTCCGTTACAGGGCCTGTACAAAACTGAAAAAAACCCCCACGTACTTTCTTGCAATAATTGCTATATTAGCTCTAGATGGTGTACAAATATTTGGATATAGGTTTAAATGGGTGCCACCACGAATTTGGGGCCCACTGAAAGGCAATTCCTATTGCCCCCCTGCATTTCTTGCAACTTCACGGGGTGGGTTGATTTGTCCTTTACTGTAGAAAACTGCTTGATTTGACTTATTTCTAAATATATAGAGCAATATATCCTTTTGGGCCCCCTCATTTATAGGCCCTTGGAATCTCTCTAACTTTCCCCTCTCCACAGGGTTTAAAACCTAAAACCTTAATTTTCTAAGATCAAAAATGTGATAAATTATCTAACATACGTTTAAACAATCACGTACATTTTTTTCACCATTTTAAAAGTTTTTAAATAAAAAAAATAACTTAATAGGTTTAACTGTAGTGATTTTTTAAATAGATTTTTGACTACACAATCTGAAGTTAATGTATATATATATATATATGTATATATATATATATATATGTATATATACATATATGAATGTATATAATCATATATATCTATATATATATAGATATATATATCTATATATATATATACACACACGTTTTAGGCATAACTTTGTTTTGTACTTATGTTTTTAAATAGTGCTATTTATATTTTGTGTAAAATATGGATAATATTAATTATTTTTCATATTTTAGCCCCTTTAAAACAAAAGCTGATCACAGTTACGTATATATTTCTTTTTACATTCAAATAAAGCAAGAAAACTAGTGATTTTAGCGTTGGTGTGGTGGAGCGTCCGCTCGGTTAGCTTCCGGGTGATGTTTACTGCAGAGGAGATGATCAGCAGCTGATGGAGACACCTCCACCACCACCGCCGCCCATCTGTCAGGATCAATAAGCTAAGCCCTTCATCGATCACCTCGAAACTGGCGGCCACCATCACCGCGAGGACACAGCCGCTGAAGGCGCGTGCGAGCGAGCGACCGTTAATGACTGAAGAGTCTCTCTCCGCTCGAGGTTAGCAGCTAACTTTAGCTTGTGTTTCAGCTTTCGGAAAGTACGCCACTAATCGATCAGTTTGATTGATTAGTGTGATCGGTTTGAGCTGCTTTTTCACACAGAGAGGCAGTCAGTTGGTACACTTTTCTCCTTCTCCGCAGGTTGTACTCAAACTTTATTTTTTTTACTCAGTCCTAACTAGCTAGGCGACCGTCAGTAGTTAGCCTCGTTAGCGTCGGCTGAGTCCATCACATACGATGCTAACTGATCCCGCCACAGTTGGGAACAGTCTTTAAGGTGTTAATGACGTGTTTTGATTTAAAATTATACCAAACGCTGCAGTTACACTTAGGATAATAACCCAATTTCGGCTACGCTGATTTAGAGCAGACGGTGGATTAATAAAAAGGCCCATTAGAGCAGCCAATCTGGGAACATAACCGCAAAAGATGCTCAAATTACAAACTTCCTAATATGTTTCTCACTGTTTTTAGGATGGAAAAAGAGAGAAATCTAGAAATAAAAGAAAACGCAGTGATATTCATTACAATGTATTACGTACAGTTATTTAAACACTAGTTAATATTATTAAATGGTTAACTCTTTTATAAAGAAGCTTGTGGTATTTACGTCGACTTCAGTTTGTTAATTACGTCAAAATTTTATATAATGTATGTGTGTGTGTATATATATATAGGCTACAGCTTAAATCTTAACGTCTATTTTTACTTGACATTTGCATCATAGTTTACCTTTTTTACTTTGAGAGACATTTTTGTTTTATGCATCGTTGTGTGTAATTTGTAGCTTTGGCAAAAGAATGTGTGATTTTTATTTTAAGTAACTAAACTAGAAACCTTTTATAATACTAAAAATAAACAATTCCCGTCATAAGGAAATCCTGATCGGAACAGTTGGTGTGTTGCACAGTAGAGGCTGTGTCTTTGGTGGGTCTATGGGAACAACAGGATCAGTAGAGTACAAACTTTACAAAACTAACACCAGATGTTTTGGTCAAAGGATTGGAATATCAGAGAGTTTGTTTTCTACAGAGATCGACACTGCTTTCAAAAAATAAATACTACATTTAACAGAAATAAAAGCTAACTGCCATGTTAATTGAAAGCAAGAAGCGCAAAATATATAACTTTATTTATAATCTATCTACCACATTGCTTTCCTGGGTTTCATCATATTTGTTGTAATATATAAGATGCTGTAATATTCATTTATTATTCTCATACAAAAAACAGTGATGGAATCAACACTGTAAAGTCTGTTTTTTTTAAGACATAACTGGTTGAAATTTATTGTCATCTTGATAAATGAAAATTCTTATTCTAAAAGAGAAAGGAACATTTTTTATCTGTTTTTTTTTATATTCTTCCCATTCAAACTTTTGTGTTTATCTTGTCCAAGATTTACAAAACTAGAGTCTAGAAAAAAAAGAGATAATTTTAAAAGAATTACTAGCTGCTAAACTGGTTGAGCAGAGATCCTTCCTGTTCAGGCAGGCAGGGTTCACATACTCGCCATCTGGCTTGTGCTCGTAGTAAGAGAAGCCATATCAATAGAATAATGTTAAACTTTTATTTCCTTTTAGTAAACTTTCCTTTTAACAGTTTTTATCGGTTACTTTCAGACTATCTGATCAACATTATATTAGTTTTTCCTCATGTCTGTAACGGTTTTTGCTTTATGCATATAAATACTTGATGTGTGTAATTTACATTGAGTTTTAAAATGTTCTATTAGGTTTGCTCTTATTATCCTGAATCCTCAAATATTGTGGCCTAAAATAGTGGTTATCTTACTCATTTACTTGGATATGTTAATGCCTTTTTCATTTGTCTTCATGGTGTTAATTACTCCATAAGATATATTTTATAATTCCTTATTAGTAGTATTTTATTATTTTTTATTGTAATTTGTGAGTCTTTATTCTGTCCACTTACAGACAGGAAGCACCCTGATGGTGTCATTTGGAAAAATGCATTTCAGTACTGTGATATATAATTTGCCCCATTGCAGATTTGTCCCTTTTTTGTTGTCATGCTGAAGCATTTCAAATTAAACTCTAAGAAAATCTGGGGTAATTAGACAGCTTTTTTTTAATTATGAGTTACATTTTTAATGTAGAAACAGTCTTCAAACCAGTCTAAAATCTTTTGCCTGTGTTTTAATGGTGATTAACCACATTTTTTAGTGTAGTTCTGTCTAACCATTCAGGCCTGATCTCTGTGTGAACTGTAGAAATAAGTTCTGTTTGACTGACAAATTATGCAAAAAGGTCTCAAACAACTTAATAGTCAATGATATGTTAGAATTGGGAAGAAACACATTTGGTCAAATCCATCAGTCTGAAAAAGGAACGCTCACTGTTTTTGATGGAACAATGAATTCTTCTCTCTACTAGAAAATCCTGAAGGAGAATGTCTGACCATCCGTTTGGGATCCTAAGCTCAAATACAGCAAACAATGCAGTAGAATAACAAGCCAAAGTCTACCTCTGAATGGATAAAGAAAATAAAGGTTTTTGCGTGTCCAAAAAAACAGAACAGTAGAAAAATGGAAGAAATCTTTATTTGGGTAAATACCTTTCTACTGCATTGTAGAACATAGAAAGTAATCTGCTGTAGAACTCAAAGCCGCTGCTGAGTACTAACTTCCGGGATATGTTCTGCCTTTTCCCCACAGCTGGCGGTTCTTCATCCCATCACATCACACATTCTCAGGGGTTTCACTCACTCAGTTATAGTAGCTCTGTCCGTCTGCACAGCGGCCGCTTCAGACTGGCCTGGCAACCTTTGTCAAAGGCGACAAGCAGCCAAAGCCAATGGTAAGCACAGCGCAGGGATTTTAGAGCTGCAGACCTTGCACTGCTGCTGCGCTGCCCTTCAGTATCGAGCCGAGTATTTCAAGGGAGGAGACGTTCCCGTACACGGAGCCCCAAAGCCAGCGATGCCCGGATCCTCACCGGCCAGCAGCAAGGCTCGGGTATACACCGACGTCAACACACAGAAGAACAGAGAGTACTGGGACTATGATGCACATGTGCCAAACTGGAGGTAAAATGCCACAGTGGTGTCAGCAGGACAGAACAATGTCAGTTACTTCAGATTGTTTTTTTCCATTTGTTGTTTTTTTTTTTTCTCCAGCAATCAAGACAACTATCAGCTTGTGCGTAAACTGGGCCGAGGGAAGTACAGCGAGGTGTTCGAGGCTATTAATGTGACAAACAATGAGAAGGTCGTAGTCAAAATCCTCAAGGTGAGACAACTCAATCCTCCTTGATGTTACAGAGTCTGCTTCATTTAAGATTATTATATAAAGTGATGGTGATATGTTTTGAGAATGCTTTACAAACAAACATTTAAAAAGAATGAGCTATTTTTGCACTCCAGTTTATCGCTAAATCAAATGTAGTGCAATCAATTCCCTGCTAAGAGTATTTTCACACCTGCAGATTTAGGTTGATCTAAATTTAGATTGATCTAAATTTGGTCTTGTTTCACTTAGTGTGAAAACAAAATCTAATGTGCATCGAACTAGTGCAGTCTGAAGAGGTGGTCTCGGTTCAGCTCCAGCGAACTCTGGTGCTAACTCAGGTGTGCCATGTCTGAAAACAACTGCACTAGGGTGCGACCAAATTTCCAGGTTAACTCAACAAGTTTGAGCTAAAAGGGCTCCCGTATTTGCCTCACCTGTGCACTGGCTGGGAAATTTTCACAACAATCGGACACAATCTTTATCTCTTGCCACTGTTGCTTTTAGAGAGCAGGCCAGTGTCAGAGCAAATTCCGTAATGGTAAGGGCGGAGAGCTCTTGCAAAGCATTTCAGGATATATCTGCTCATCTAGTGTAGATATGGAGCTAAACGTGGATCTTTGACTGAAACAGGACTAGTCATAGGTACCTTTTCTAACCTAACACACTGTAAAATAAGCAATAAAAGTACGTGGGATTAATGCCGATATGATATCAGGTCAATATTGGTGTTAGTCAAACTCAAAGCTGCAATATCGGTAGTATATCAGAAATAAAAAGTTGTATTGGTGAACCCCCACTGAACTTAATTGAGTCTGAAGTAATATGATGATGAGACTAAAGCCTCTTTACCACTGAAAATAGCATGTTAACCCGCTAATAATCGGCATCTGGCTCCCTTCCCATTGGCAAAAGAAGCTGGGGACGCTCTTTGATGATGTCACCAGTGTGGCAGAAATCATGAAAGCAATCAATGGAAAGCAACATGTAAGGAATCCAGGTTGTAGTAGTAGTCTAGTTCCATACATTGTGCACAATGGTATCCTGTAAATTAGCAGGTTGACGTGGATGTGGTGTTCCCACAGCATGCCGATCAGAGCCAAGGCAATTTTAACCTGTTGAGACGTTTGGCGCAGGTAGACATAGGTCAGTGAACTCTTCCCACTGCCACTGAAAGCCTGGGTTTAAACTTGTTTTTCGGTCAGTGGGAAAGGGGGAGTAAGTAAACATTTTGACTTAAATTGAAAATGCAAGGTATAAGTAGGGCTGCAACTAAAAATCGATGAATCGGCCGATTATTTTTTCGATTAATCGATGAATCAGACAAAAAAATTTTTTTATATTAACCTCTTTATTCCAAAATAAACATTTTAGACAGAACAAACAAGCACACAAGTACAGCTTGCTCATTAACTGTACTGTTGCAATATGAAAAATAAATGTTTGTGTAAAAACTACGCAAACTTACATGAGAAATGTAGCTGTACATCCACAAAATATAGGGTACTTTGTTTCATAAAGCGCAAAAAGAGACAGGCATTTTTGTTTTTTAAAGCCCCTAAGGGGTTCAAACAATAGGTCCCCCCATTTCAACAAATTAGTTTTTTTTAGACTAGAAGAGTTTTGCCTTTTAAGACAGGAAAGTATAGCAGTTAAAGTTGCTGCTTGAGAAAATACTGAACCATAGAGATAAAAATAGCCCTGTGATTCAAATTATAAATTGTATTTGGAATAAAAATGAGAGAACTAGGGGTGGTAAAAAAACACATCCTCCAAAGACAGATACACTATATTGCCAAAAGTATTTGCTCACCCATCCAAATTATTGGAATCAGGTGTTCCAATCACTTCCATGGCCACAGGTGTATAAATTCAAGCACCTAGGCATGCAGACTGTTTTTACAAACATTTGTGAAAGAATGGGTCGCTCTCAGGAGCTCAGTGAATTCCAGCGTGGAACTGTGATAGGATGCCACCTGTGCAACAAATCCAGTCGTGAAATTTCCTCGCTCCTAAATATTCCACAGTCAACTGTCAGCTGTATTATAAGAAAATGGAAGTGTTTGGGAACGACAGCAACTCAGCCACGAAGTGGTAGGCCACGTAAACTGACGGAGCGGGGTCAGCGGATGCTGACGCGCGTAGTGCGAAGAGGTCGCCAACTTTCTGCAGAGTCAATCACTACAGACCTCCAAACTTCATGTAGCTCAAGAACAGTGCGCAGAGAGCTTCATGGAATGGGTTTCCATGGGCGAGCAGCTGCATCCAAGCCATACATCACCAAGTGCAATGCAAAGCGTCGGATGCGGTGGTGTAAAGCACGCCGCCACTGGACTCTAGAGCAGTGGAGACGCGTTCTCTGGAGTGACGAATCGCGCTTCTCCATCTGGCAATCTGATGGACGGGTCTGGGTTTGGCGGTTGCCAGGAGAACGGTACTTGTCTGACTGCATTGTGCCAAGTGTAAAGTTTGGTGGAGGGGGGATTATGGTGTGGGGTTGTTTTTCAGGAGCTGGGCTTGGCCCCTTAGTTCCAGTGAAAGGAACTCTGAATGCTTCAGCATACCAAGACATTTTGGACAATTCCATGCTCCCAACTTTGTGGGAACAGTTTGGAGCTGGCCCCTTCCTCTTCCAACATGACTGTGCACCAGTGCACAAAGCAAGGTCCATAAAGACATGGATGACAGAGTCTGGTGTGGATGAACTTGACTGGCCTGCACAGAGTCCTGACCTCAACCCGATAGAACACCTTTGGGATGAATTAGAGCGGAGACTGAGAGCCAGGCCTTCTCGTCCAACATCAGTGTGCGACCTCACAAATGCGCTTCTGGAAGAATGGTCAAAAATTCCCATAAACACACTCCTAAACCTTGTGGACAGCCTTCCCAGAAGAGTTGAAGCTGTTCTAGCTGCAAAGGGTGGACCGACGTCATATTGAACCCTATGGATTAGGAACGGGATGTCACTTAAGCTCATATGTGAGTCAAGGCAGGTGAGCAAATACTTTTGGCAATATAGTGTATTTACATGGGAATGTGGCAGATAATTAATTGACATATTACTGATCTTGCTGGATTTTGTTCTGCTTTACTTCCATAAATTGCAGGATCTTCTTTTCTTTATCTTTGCCAGAAGATTTAAACTTTAAAAGCCTTGCCCTCATAATTTGCAAGTTCATTTATTTATAAAGAAAATATAAACGCTGCTTAAACAAGATTAAATGAAATTAAAAGTAAAATAAGTAGCCAACCTTATCACTGTCTGTAACCTACTAACAAGGTAAGGAAAGCATCAGATGAGCTCCCTGAGAAACTAACGTTACGTTTCCCCTCTTTAAAATGAAACAAACATGGTTACTCATCCTGCTGATCAGCTCTCTTCACTGCCATCGAAGGCTCCAACGTGTTTTCTTTTCAGGTGCTGCGTCATAACAGTGGTGCTTCCGTGCCATGTTCATTTGTTTTTACAAAAGTTGCATGTTACGACTTTTTTCCCTTTACAAAGCGCAGGCTATTTTAATTATTGTGATAAATTTGCGTTGTCAATCCCGGCGCATGCGCGCTTCATTTGCAGTCTGGACGCTGAGGGTAAACTCCTCACTAAAATCCTGCGGCTCTGACTCTGACTGCCGCGCTGAGAGGGATTCCTGTGGGAGAGGGAGAAAGGGGTTGGGATTGGGGAGGCGCCCCACGGCAGGCAAAAGCCGCCAGTGACACCGTAAAAAGTCGCCAGCTTTGTCGCTAGTCGCTTTTTTGAAAAATAGTCGCTGGAGGGGTCTGAAAAGTCGCTGAGTTGGCAACACTGCAACTGCGGCGCTGACTCGCTCCGCCATATTTTTTTTTCTTCCCCCGGATGACGGCGGCGGCGGATGACGCATTAATCGCGCGACTCAATTAATCGATGATTAAATTCGTTGCCAACGCTTTTAAAAGTCGATTTTTATCGATTTTATCGATTCGTTGTTGCAGCCCTAGGTATAAGCTTCACTTCTTGTCACACTGAACATACTTTCCCTGCCAGTGAAGAATTATAATGGCAGCATCATCTTTTGGTGTTTTTCTTTAGCAAGGACATGGAGGCTGGTCAGAGTTGCTGGGCAAAGTGTTGACGTACCGATCTGGTAGAAACAAACCCTATAAGACTTTTAGCTGACTCTGAAAAGAATGGTGGTTCTACAGATTATCGTCCCAGGGGGCAAAAGCTAATACACTTTTGAAAACCATACATCTTTTTCAGTAATGCACCACTTTGTGTCCTTCCATCACATAAAGCAAACTTGAGGTTTGAGCATGACTATAGCCCCATTTACACTACCCTTTTGAAAACGTGCCGAAATCAGTCCGAGTACTGATATAGTTAACAGAGATAACTGTTGAGTGTAAATGGCACGCAAAACTGAAACGGACGACGCCAGACAAAACTGATCTGCCCTAAACTGGTACTAGTTCATTAGTAGTGCTCAGCACGGTTCAGTTCTCTGATTAAAAAAGAGCACATGAGCAGACCGCGTCATCTCCTTACAGTCAGGCTTCGTAATCATGAAACTTCAGACATTCATAAAAATACTAGTTTCCCTACCATGCCACACGATTTCCAGTGATGATTCTGCTCCGACTCTTGTCAGCTAAATTCAACAAAGGCTGCCATCTTCGCCTGACTCTCCGCAAACAACGAAATATCACAATTGTAATCAAACTTCCTGAATGTTACGGGTGCCACCATGTTGATTTTCTTGTCTGGTTAACTCGGCATGAATCGTTTTTCGGAGGGTAGTGTAAATGGGGTATACAAGTGCAAAGGTTCAGGAGGTTTGATTATACATTTTTTTGCAGTCCATTGTAAACCATTTAAAGCTTCAACCAAAGGATTGACCTTCCTCTTATTTATCTCTGTTGAATGGTCATTTTTGTTCTTCAGCCTGTCAAGAAGAAGAAGATCAAACGGGAAATAAAAATCCTTGAAAACCTGCGAGGAGGAACCAACATCATCCGTCTGGTGGACACTGTCAAAGACCCAGTGGTGAGTGGGAAGCCTGCCCTCACTTTGCTGCATGCTGGCCCTGTTAATCCAGTTATGCTAGTGATCTCCACTTACCTGCTGCCGCTTTCAGTGAAGCTGTGTGTTTGTTGTCTTCTCTCTGCAGTCCAGAACACCAGCGCTTGTCTTTGAGTACATCAATAACACAGATTTTAAGGTACCTGATTTGTGCTTGCTCAGAACTACCATCCATGCACTCATGGGATCGATAACCTTCCTGTTAGCGTAGAAACTGCCGACACCTTGCAGCTGCAAACTTTTAAAACGCAAGTTGCTTTCATCCTCCCCACAGGAGCTGTACCAGAAGCTGACAGACTACGATATCCGTTATTACATGTATGAGCTGCTTAAGGTAAGATGAACTGAACACTTATATATATAGATAGATAATATTTTACAAACAGGGTTTAAAAGTCTTTGACTAAAGGGTGAAAGGTGTCGCCCATGATGGATGTAAGCTTGGACAGCACCCTCTTCTCAGCCACTTCTTCCACTGAGTCCAGAGTGCATCCTTTTACAGAAGTGGTCCATTCTCACCAGTTTATTCAGTCTCTTTCTGTCCTGCTCTGTGCTCCTAGGGGCCCAGCAAACAACAGCATAGAGGAGGGCTGATGCCACCACAGAGTCATAGGTTTTATGCAGGGGCCTGCTCACTCCAAAAGACCTCATCCTCCTCAGGAGGTGGAGGCGTTATGTAGTTTGACCTGGATTTGAAAGGATAGGGTCATATAAAAGCTATGCTTTGTGTTTTTAAATCAGATTAAAAAAGCAAAACACAAGATCTCTGTTCAGGTCTGACTCTAAGGAAACATTTGCTCAGATTCTGCCTTCGTTTTGACCCACTCTTTCTTTTACTTTTCTTTTCATAATTAAATGACCAAAACAAGCCCTAAGCTTAAACGCTTGCACAACATTCATATTGTTTGTGCAAAGGTTTTTGGTTTTACAGGATATTTTTAAGACTGAAACTGGAAGGTCAGATCAGTTGAGAAATGTCTTTTTCAACAAAGTATTTTTGTTTACAAAAATACTTTGGTTTTTGTTATCTAACCACAAAATTAACAAAATAATGACTACTAACTTTCAATATTTGTCCCAGACTTATTTAGGGACACGTGTAACTGGGATTTATATCTTTTTTTAGCCCATCTTCATTTTGTTTTGATTATTTTTCTCAATTTAAAGGTTTTCAAATGATTTCAGAAGCATATAACTCAGCTTCTGTTTTTTAGTATGCTGTCTGAATAGGCCTGAGATGAACATTAAAGGGCAACATCCTATGTGTTTGCCAGTGTAATCTTTAAAGGTTCCTGAACCTTAGGGCTTCCAATCCACACAGTTCTGGAGTCTGGGCCCTTGATAAAAATGAGTTGTAGTAGGGAAGCTAACATTCAAATTAAACAAGAACACATGGATATATGCAGCTGATACAATTTGTAATCACTGTGTTAACCTTATTTTGAAATGCCGAAATGAATGTGTTCAACTTCTTTTTTTTTTTTTTTTTTTTGTGTGGTGCTTCCATTTAATTGCTTTTTTAGCTATCTAACTAAGCTAAACAGGATATATAGGTGTTCAATAAACACCATAATATCGGCCGTGATTTAAACCTTTTTGGGGAAAAAAGCCCACGTTAAGAAAGTTCTTAAATTAAGTGTTTATTCTGATCTTTTTTTGCTGCTGGATGAATAAATCTTGCATATATTATGACAAATATATCACAGAACTCTGCTTCCAGCAGAGATAATTATCTGTGCAGACGGCACCTTGTGAAAAGCTGGGAGCAAGATTTGTGTTGACAGCATTTCTTTCCCATTAAGCCGCTTGTAGTATTAACTATTTGGCATTGATATATATGCTTCACATCAGCTTTTAGCAAAATTCTCAGGTTTGTGTCAATAGCATATATGCCCATGTTTAACTAAGGAAGGTAGACTAATTATGGAAAACATAACAGAAAACGCTTTAAAAAACTTCAGTCTAGGCAATTTGACGTAAACATGGTCAATCTTGACCATGACCTGGATGACCGTTGAGGATCTTCATAGATATTACAGAAAATTTTCTTAGAGTTGCATAATATATTGAATCCAGATCTCTGGATTCTGTTGCATTTTCAGATGCCCTGCACTGAAACTGCTTGTCAGTAATATCCACACACTGGTTTCAGATAAGGAAAAAGCAATGGTGGCTCATTATTCCTACTTGAAGCAGTTGAGCTGTAGCGGCAGAGGGAGCTAAGAACAGGAATCAGACATTCAGAGGGTTCCGTGTTTTCTTTCAGGCTCTGGACTACTGTCACAGTATGGGGATCATGCACCGGGATGTGAAGCCCCACAACGTGATGATTGACCACCAGCTAAGGAAGGTAATGCTCACAAATCTTGTTTCCTCATTAAGTTCCTAATTATACCTTTCAGCCCTGAAAGATGGGAATTTACATCCCTCACCAATTTTTTTTATTTCATTTTTGTTCTTTTTCAGTCAAATATATATTATCTACATTTGTAGGTAGGATTCGGTAGTGAGAAGGATACCTCTGCATAAGAAACTGTACATTTTGTTATTAAAAATTAGCTTCCATAGATTCTATGGTCAGTAGTTAATTTTCTACTTCAGCAGGTTTAGTCAAAGCTTTTTCCTGTTATTATCTCCTATTTTTATGCCAGTGGCAGGTCAGATTAAACGAGTGGACATTCTCTTGTATTTCAGCTTCGTCTCATCGATTGGGGTTTGGCTGAATTCTACCATCCTGCTCAGGAATACAATGTCAGGGTAGCATCTCGCTATTTCAAAGGCCCTGAGCTGCTAGTGGACTATCAGGTACAAACATCTTTATTAAAGAACGGGAATATGAAATAAACCCCATGTTGAAATTTCTCATTCAAATTGTTTCTCTATGCAGATGTATGATTACAGTTTAGATATGTGGAGTTTCGGCTGCATGCTGGCCAGCATGATCTTCCTTAAGGAGCCGTTTTTTCACGGCCAGGACAACTATGACCAGGTATGAGGAGGGCACAGCATAGTGAGATGGCTACACTGGTAGGCGCTCCTTCGTAGTGATATGGAAAAAAGCCTTTAGATGAGCTCAATTATTTTTTTGAAGCAGATAAAGAAAAGAAAAATTGAAAAACCCAAATTTAGTTTGTGGGGACAAAAAAAAAATCCTATCTTTAAATTTTTAAACAAGTAATACAAGGAAAAAATATCAATTTTAGTGAAGATCCATCTAATATTAATGGAACTGAAGCATATCTTAACATATACTTATTTTTTTTTATTGACCTGACTGTTTTAGAGCCTCAGGTTGGTAAAATTATGATGTAACATTAAGGTCCAATTCTGCAAACAGTGGGAAAGTAGAACATCAGGCCGATATTAAATGGTTATCAGAAGCTGGGAAATGGCTTTAAGATAAAAATCAACAGTCCTCAACCTGTTCATCGCTTCAGTCAGGCCAAATATAAACACTTTTTAATTCTGGACCTGAGACAAACAAGGCAGATGTCTTAGGTCCAATGATGTGACAGCAATGCAGTAATGGAGGTAAAGCATCACCACTGACACGTTCCTATGGCAGCCTTCTGGTATGATTAAAATGCTAACTGGTTGTTTGGGAGACAGGACAAATTTTAACATATGAAGTTTGATAAACTGTAGAGCTAAGAGTGAACATGTCATACTCATTGTTAAGTATAGAGGGGGACCTGTGATGCTGTGGGTCTGTTTTTCTTCCAAAGATTCTGGGAAAGGTTTTTATGCATTGTAAAGGAAATGTGCTGACCTTTGCCATAACATTAAAAATTATTTGTCATTGGGTCTTTCAACAGAACGGTGATCCAGAACATTTGCCCAAATCATCGCAAATGGTCCACCAGGCACATCATCTATTTTATCTAAAATTAACTTTCAATCTACAGATCTAAAGCTTGAAGTAAACATGAAGGCTGATCACTCTGAATAAATCTGTTAGTGAATTTATTTTAAGGCTTTTATTTAATGCCTTTATTTTTTTTAAATACCAGTGTGAAGTAGCTTTTTATTTAAACTAATCTAAATCATCTGAATATAAAACTGATGTTTCCTATAGATGTGTTTTAATCCAAAGAAAAGCCTGTTAATTGTAGATGGGATAATGCTGGATCTTTTTGGGGTTTTGAAAGAATCTAACAGTGTACCGTGCCCCCTTAGCGCCCCCTGCTGTGTGAAGTTAGGTTTCACACTGAGGCCACAGAAACATGACTGCTTAGAAAAAAATTATCTTGGAAATGAGAAACTCTGAAACGCTGCCGAGGTTCTATTTTAGTGACAGAGTGCCAACAATGAGAGCTGTTTAAATGTCCGGATTATTTGGCTTACATAATGTTTGAATTAAACAACAATAATAAACAGTAAAGGCATCTGAAGTCACACTGTCCACTTCCTCTAAATATGCAACACAGCATGTAAGCAGCTCACACATACAGAAATGTACTTCTGTTTTTAGCAGATCATCTTTATTTAAGCAGTTTAACTTCAGTTCGGTAACATTTCAATAGTAGAATTCATTTAGTGACGTTCAGCAAGTTAAGGGTTGATAGAGGTGTGATTCTTTCTTTGAAAAATGGCAGAGAAACGTAAGAGAAAATGTGTCTATGAAGTGTATCAGAAGAAAAAAAAAGGCCTCAGAAAAGGTAGATATATCCTGGAATGCTTTGTGGGGAGAACTCTCCTCACAAAGCAATATGGGATTTGCTGTCACAGCAGCCCGCTGTCAATACCTGACAGTGGTGACTAATAACAAAGATGGCTCGGGCACATATAGTGGAGGAGAAAGTATGTCACCTATGGAGCAAAACTAAGTGACCATCTGTCCAAACGGTCAGTTAACTGAGTTTGCTATAAAGTCCACTATATACAGGTGCTGGTCATAAAATTAGAATATCATGAAAAAGTAGATTGATTTCAGTAATTCCATTTAAAAAGTGAAACTTGTATATTATATTCATACATTACATACAAACTCATATATTTCAGATGTTTATTTTGTTTAATTTTGATGATTACAAATGACAACAAATGAAAATCTCAAATTCATCATATCAGAAAATTAGAATATTACTGAAGACCAATAAAAACAAAGGATTTATAGAAATGTTGGCCAACTGAAAAGTATGAACATGAAAAGTATGAGCATGTACAGCACTCAGTATTTAGTTGGGCCTCCTTTGGCCTGTATTACTGCAGCAATGCGGCGTGGCATGGAGTCGATCAGTCTGTGGCACTGCTCAGGTGTTATGATAGCCCAGGTTGCTCTAATAGTGGCTTTTAGCTCTTCTGAATTGTTGGGTCTGGTGTATTGCATCTTCTTCTTCACAATACCCCATAGATTTTCTATGGGGTTAAGGTCAGGAGAGTTTGCTGGCCAATTAAGAACAGGGATACCATGGTCCTTCAACCAGGTACTGGTAGCTTTGGCACTGTGTGCAGGTGCCAAGTCCTGTTGGAAAATGAAATCTGCATCTCCAAAAAGTTGGTCAGCTGCAGGAAGCATGAAGTGCTCTAAAACTTCCTGGTATGTGGCTGCGTTGACCCTGGACCTCAGAAAACACAATGGACCAACACCAGCAGATGACATGGCACCCCAAACCATCACTGACTGTGGAAACTTTACACTGGACTTCAAGCAACGTGGATGAAGTGCCTCTCTTCTTTTCCTCCAGACTCTGGGACCTTGATTTCCAAAGGAAATGCAAAATTTACTTTCATCAGAGAGCATGACTTTGGACCACTCACCAGCAGTCCAGTCCTGTTTCTCTTTAGCCCAGGCAAGACGCTTCTGACGCTGTCTGTGGTTCAAGAGTGGCTTGACACAAGGAATGCGACAGCAGAAACCCATGTCTTTCATACGTCTGTGTGTGGTGGTTCTTGAAGCACTCACTCCAGCTGCAGTCCACTCTTTGTGAATCTCCCCCACATTTTTGAATGGGTTTTGTTTCACAATCCTCTCCAGGGTGCGGTTATCTCTCTTGCTTGTACACTTTTTTCGACCACATCTTTTCCTTCCCTTCGCCTCTCTATTAATGTGCTTGGACACTGAGCTCTGTGAACAGCCAGCCTCTTTAGCGATGACCTTTTGTGTCTTGCCCTCCTTGTGCAAGGTGTCGATGGTCGTCTTTTGGACAACTGTCAAGTCAGCAGTCTTCCCCATGATTGTGTAGCCTATAGAACTAGACTGAAAGACCATTTAAAGGCTTTTGCAGGTGGTTTGAGTTAATTAGCTGATTAGAGTGTGGCACCAGGGGCCATCAATTTTGAACCTTTTCACAATATTCTAATTTTCTGATATGATGAATTTGAGATTTTCATTTGTTGTCATTTGTAATCATCAAAATTAAACAAAATAAACATCTGAAATATATGAGTTTGTATGTAATGTATGAATATAATATACAAGTTTCACTTTTTAAATGGAATTACTGAAATCAATCTACTTTTTCATGATATTCTAATTTTATGACCAGCACCTGTAGTCCCCGCTCTATATAGTGATAGAGGGATTTAGGGGTTTAGGGCGGACGTTCAGACACCGTAAACTTTTCAACAGAGCTTGCACGAGGAGAATTGGGCTCGTACATGCTCTCGCTCGTGATTTTTTTTATTGTGGATTTTAAGAAATTTGGGAAAATCCTCAAAAGTACCTTCAAGTCACCCTGAAGGACACCAGACTCCTGTGGTCTTATATTTAAGTATTATTAACAGTTGCTGTCCTTTAATGAGGAGTAAAAGGAAGTGTATATGTGAGCTACAGACTGCAGCATGTTTTGATGTGATAGGATGAGTTGATTATAAGCCAGTGACTTACAATTCCATGAGAATGATCACAAGAATGTTTCTCCAACTTAACACTGTGATAAGACTCGACAATGGTGAAGAGTTAAAACTCTTCACCATTATGTTATGTTATAAATATGCTTTGACTTGGACTTGTCCCTCAGAGACTGAGCCTGAGATGACAGTAAACAGCTCTGCAAACATGTTAAAGCTGAAGCTTTTCTAACTGAGCTTGTATTCTACTCTGCAGCTGGTCCGCATCGCAAAGGTTCTCGGCACAGACGAGCTGTTCGGCTACCTGCACAAGTATCACATAGAACTAGACACACGCTTTAAGGACCTGCTGGGACAGTGAGTATCTGTCCTCCTCTGCTGCTTATCTCCTAAATGGATGGAGTGAAGCAGGAATAATCAGGATCTGAGGTTTTCTGGGATTCAGACAGAACCACTTTCCAAGTTTCAGATGGAATGCTAGAAGTTATCCGGAAGTTTCAGGAGGGAAATATTATCTGGGCACCTGGACTTAAAACTTACATTTTAATAATCAAAAAACAATCGTCCTCCTGTAACTTCACCATGACAAGGATAATATTAAAATAAGCTACTTATTTGACATTTTAGATAAAAAAAACCTTATGCATGTTAGATGTTGGATATTTTATTTTACATGCTAATCTGAAGTAATCAAATATTAATGTTAAATGTGGACCATAAGCGGCTGAGAGATTAGAACATTTCATGTAGAATGTGATTGAAGAGGTTCAGATGGGTTTTATTGAGAAAAGGTAAAGGACAAGTGTACACCTTATAAGGAAAGATGAAAGGACAGTTAATAAAAGCCTTTTAAGTAATAAAAAATAAATTAGATATTCCTCTAAGAATTATTTAAACACTTGGATTTAACAACAAAATATTTCCGTATTAAATCCATAACTATATTAAAACCAATGGTAAATATTGAAATAAATGGTAACTGATGGGATACATTCATCTGAAAAGGGGTTCAATACTCTCCTAAAGTTTCTTTGCATTGTTTAATGCATCATTATAAAGCCTCAAACTCAACGTGTATTTCTGGCATTTTGAATTGTGAAAAGCTTCCTGGATGGGAAGCGAATCGCCTTAAAACTTGGAAACAAAGTCCAGTGGATTATTTATTTATTTTTTTTTTTACTTTTTTTGGAAGGGCTATGGCCTGGATGACTGAGAATCTTCACCAGCACAATGTACCATAAGCTATTGTGATTTGATAAGGCGATGCAAAAGGAGTTAGAATAGGAGGGGGGTTTTATGTACAGAAAAATATTTTTAAATCGTATTGGCATGAAATACATAGACCTAAGAAATTTAACTGTACACAGATTTCTTGGTAAATCAATAAAACCAAAACTGCTATTAAATATGAAATGCAGTTCTTCATATATGGAAACTAGAGAAAGAGAAAAAGACTTTCTAATCAGGGGGAAATTTTAAAAGAGAACTGAAGGGAGAACGTGCTTAGGTTGTGAAGAGAAAAAAAAAATGGTTATATTCATTCTGTGGAAATTGGTGTCCAAAACACAAACATGTTCTATGGACTGAGATTAAGCACACAGATTTTGGACGTGTCAAGAATTGAAAGAGTATTAGCACTAAAAATGAAAAGGATATAAGACATAAAAACTTCTGACATATTTTATTTGGCAAACCTCCATACAACATAATACAAAAATATGATGAAGATAATTTAAAAACAACAGCAATCAATGAAAAAAGGGTGAAAAAAGGGTTAATATTTACTTATAGTAAGAATACACCACCAACAAAACTGGATAACTAGGTTAAAAAAAGACAATTCAATGAAAAATAAAATAATTTCTAACAAAACATCAGTGTTTTATTTAATTTAATATGTGTGATTAAGACTGGGCTCTCATTCCTGTTCACCTGCTCAGTGTGGTGTTTCAATCACCAAACTGCTGAGGGTGTTTATGTCATTGTTTAGCTGCTGAGAGCTTAGCAGGTGGTGTTTAAGACTGAAATTAGGTTAAGGGAACTAGAACAATGCAGTTAGAGCTTGCTGAACTGCAGATTTAAATCCGTGGAAGACAGTGTAGAACTGGTAATTTTCCATCTTTTTAAAGTGAAATGTCCTGCAGAGTTGTAATGTAGCAAAAAAAAAATCCAGGTATCAGTCAGAGTGAGCACAGACAGGTCAAAAACTGTTAAATAATCATTTTAAAAGACTATTCAAAGCCTGTTTGGATGGCTGACAGCAGCACTAAAGGAGCTGCAGGAAAAAGGGTTCCATTTGTAACCATCCATCCTTCCATTTTCTGTCACGCTTAATCCCTTATGAGGTGCTGGTGCCTATCTACTTCTATCTACTGGCAAGAGGCGGGGTACACCGTGGACAGGTCACCAGTTTATCGCAGGGCAACACAGAGACAAACAGGACAAACAACCATCCTCGCACACACTCACACCTAAGGAGAATTTAGAGAAGCCAATTAACCTAACATTCATGTTTTTGGGAGGAAGCCGGAGTACCCGGAGAGAACCCACACATTCTCAGGTAGAACATGCAAACTCCATGCAGAAAGACCCTGGGCCAGGAATCGAACCCAGAACCTTCTTGCTGCAAGGCAGCAGTGCACTGAGCAGCCCGCATATGTGACCATCGTCAAGAAAACATTCAAATCTAGCATAAATTCCCCTAAACCTGGAGAAAGAATGTGTGGTGGTGAAACCATGAAAAGATGTGGTGCATGCAGACAGCTACAGATTGGAGTGAATGCTGAAATTAAAGAGCACTTAAAAAGGGTTGTTTAAGGGTTTTTCAAAATACATGCGACTAAAGTGCAGCTCATCTAATTTATTTTTCCAGCTTTGTTTCCCATTAAAAGTAGATAACTGCTAAATGCTCAGTCATTCTCTGTTATTTCATGTCACTAAAGCCAGCCAGAACCCACGCACTGAACTCCTTTGTAAACAAACCCATGATGCAGTCTCCATGTTTTTAGGCAATCCCGGAAGCGTTGGGAGCAGTTCATCCAGTCAGAGAACCAGCACCTGGTGAGTCCGGAAGCCCTCGACCTGCTGGACAAGCTGCTGCGCTACGACCACCAGCAAAGGCTGACGGCCACTGAAGCTATGAGGCATCCATACTTCTGTCAGTACCAGCAACACGTTTACATGAGATCCTGACTCAGAGAGTCTTCTTTATGTTGTCTTGTCTCCTTTCACTAAGTGAACTGTGAACACTGAAGTAAACGGATCAAATGGTTTTCTCAGTATTTCAACTCAAACCTTCCTCTGACATCATCAGGGTAGGAGTTCAGAGATCTGAGATTAGGCTTCAGGGAAATGCATCCAGTTTTAGGAATAACCTTACATTTCTAAAGATCAAAAGAGAAGAGCAGCTCTGTAAACTGATAATCCCTTCTACAGAAAGACCTGAAATAAGAGCTCCTCCGGTCTTTCCCATTAATTATTTTGCTGTTATGCCAGAGCTTGGATCCCAGCCTCCTGTCAGACACAATCCTTATGCTACCAGGAATTTTCCACGTATTTGACGTTTCCAGGATCTGCTTGTCTCCAATTACTCTTGTTGTGTTTTCTGTTATTGAGAATCAAACGGCTCATGTTTGTTCCTCAGATCCAGTGGTGAAGGAACAAGCAAACGCCAACACTGAAGGCACAAAGGCAATAAGCAGCTCCAATGCAACATGATAACCAGACAGCAGGTAAATCTTTTATCTCCACCTAAACACAAACTTTTGTTCTATCAACATGAGGAAAAGAACTACAAATGACGTTTGAAAATAGTTTCACAGACAGAACTTTGTCAACTTTGAGAATGCAGGTATTCCTGCTTGTTCCAGAGATAGATATGCTTGAAGTGCAAATCTAAATTATGGTTTAATTTTTTAGTTAGGTGGACACCTTTCAATGCTCAGAATATTGGGAACAGAGTTTTTCTCAAATCTCTTTGGATAAAAAAACCTCTGAACGTGGAGTGCGGTGCCCACAGAGTGCTTCCAGATTAGTGGTTTGTTTTAAAAGCCAATGTTTCTGCAAAGGATCGCATTCCAAGAAAAAACCTTTATTTAGGTTATTTCAAAGGGAACGCAAACTACTAGTTTTGTAACGCTACTCTTAGGTCATTGTATAACTCCTGTTAGTGAGTGGGGCTAAAAATTGTAGATGTACAGGAAAAGGAAAAATGCTAGATTTAGAAACAATGTGCCTCATGCAACATTTTTATTTTCTTGTCATAAATTTCTGTTACTTTTTCTCCTTTCACTGGTTTTTGCAAACACATCAGACATTTTTAATTTCAACGAATGATTGTAGATGATCCTCGGAAACCTTATTCACCTGTGCATAAGTGAGCAGTTGTTCCTGAAAAATTTAAATCTGCATAATCCCGCCCTAATAATGCCAAATAAGGCTACACCTTCCCATGCTGGTCAGAAGGTTTTCATTCATAGAAATGGCTTTAAAGACAAAACAGAAAAACTCCAGGGGTTCAAAGATTGAGGATCTGTAAATGAAGTGGATGCGCTGTAGAAGTAAAAATTAAAATAATTTGATCCGAAAATTGTCAAAATTGTGGTAAGAGGTGCAACATACGATGTAAATGCTTCAGTTTGCCATTAACCAACAAAACATTCAACAAGATCTGTTTTTAATGCACACCTATACTGAACATCTCCTGACGTCTATCATTCCTTCAGCATACTCTCCATCTGTCATACAATGCATTGATATAAAATGTAATTTAACATTTTATGTTAACGGTAGAGATTCCATATTTGGTGTAATAGCAAAGCCAAGGAGCTGCCAAGGACTAAAATAACTGCATTTCTTACTGTTAGAAGCAGCAACACTTGCTTAACCTCCTTTCTAAACTTTATATTTTTCTGTTCCAGATGTTATTTCAATAGCAGCTTGATCCCACAAATAACAAATGAAACTAGAGTCCCCTGGATACCTATATGCCGTCTACAGGTGTAGTGACCGATAGTTCTGTCATCAGCGAATATAAATGTCATTTATAATTGCTTCCAAATAACAATGTAGTCATTTTGTGAAAAACTAGGTTTGGATAACAGCTGACTGATTGCGCAAGACTCTTGCGTCAAATCTGGGGCATTCATATTTGTTCATACCAGAGCGATTAGAAATGGGAGAAACATGGTGAATGCGACATTTGCTCCTAAATCACTCGTACTAATGATTTAAGAATGAATTTGTTTGTACAAACACTTCTTGCATGAGGCCCATTGTTAAAAAAATGTATGGTGTTTGAAGACATGCTGTCAAGGCCAGCCACATCTGCATTTATAAAATACAAACAGAAGTAATATATTGTTTAGCCAGATTTATAAACGGCACCAGGCAGTGTTAAAGGATCTGACTGCTTTTATTCAGCATATCTTGTTAAAGATTGTTTTTAATTTCAGTGCTGTATTATGCATTAATCTGACCCAGACCTGTCTACTTTTCTCATTAACAATTCTTTTTTTTTTCTTCTTTTTTTTTTAAACATTTAGGACAAATCTTTTTTCTTTTTTTTTTACCTCAACTTACAACCTTTTCTTGGCAGAAACCTCTGCTTCCACATCAACAGCCATACTGGAGCAAGATGTCAGTTTTTTGCAGCACACACACATTTACACACACAAACTCAACAAACGAACTGAACTTCTCCCATCAAAGCCAAGGGAACCTGCAGTCCCATTTGACCGGATCTGACGTCCGTTTTTAAACAGTGACTGTCGTCGGATCAGAACCCAGCCTCATCGTTGCGGCAGCCGGAGATCCAGTTCCAGGTTTTAGCACTGACGTGGAGGCTCTTTTCTGCTATGATAGAACAAAAGTTATATTGAAAGAGAATAAACAGTTTTTATTTAAAAGGCATGTGTTGGTGTTTTCTTCCCCCTCCTCAGTGTTTTCATCACCATGTTAAAATAAAACATCAAGACCCAGAAGATTTTTGGCTGTCTAATAAAACTTGTCTTCAAGTCAGAAGCTCAACTCTGAGTAAAAGCGGGTCATTTAATGTCAAACTATCCAAGCGGTGTTCATGTAGTAAATACATTTCCCTACTAATCTATTAAGTTTGGTTGGTTCTGAGTTCTAGGAAACCCTTTTACTGGTTTGCTACTGGCTTTTCAGTGTCTATTTTGATGTAAAAAGACCAGATGTGTTTTTATGTATTGTGGCCTTTTAGGCATAACATAGATTCTGTTTGTCTACATACTCTTAGTGTAAGAGAAAAAGCCCACATTCTGGTGTAGAAGTTGAAGACATAGTGAAGACACAGTACTCTATAAACTGAAGGTAAAATCTTCATCTTAAAACTTTACCTGATGAAAGCAATCTAAATGGCATCCAGTCCTGTTTTGTGTGAGTTCCTTAAAGTGTAGCCCTCACAACTGTAAGTATAAGATGAGCTAAATTTATATTTTTTTTCTAATCACACCAACTTATTTTAGATTACTGTCCAAATCATGACCCTTCACATTAACATTCACTGAGCAGGGAAATAAGTGGGAGGAAACTAGAAACAACTTGTGGATAGCAAGACGTCTTCCCAGTCTGACATTCACCCTATAAACATTCCATTATGTTCAAAGGAGACTTAATTGTTTTTTTTAATCAGTTTGCTAATGTCTCAGTGTGTTGTGACCAGAAACCACCAATCCAAAACAAACTATCCAAATGGAAGAGTTTGGTAATGGTAAAAATGATAATTTATGTGATCTAATACCCTTAAATAAATCACAGACCAAAGGGTTCAATAAGTGCGTGTGTTTAATAAATAACACTGGAAATTCAATATGTACTTCCAAAACATAAAAACACTTGTGCAACATTAGTGCGATACAGGTTGATGCATTCGTTTAGGAGAATCTGGGCCATAGTCCTGAGGAAGACATCGGGCTCAGATTTAAAATATTTCTGCTTAGGTGACTTAAACTGTAAACACAGCAGAGAAAACTTCAATCGCATCTGAAAGAGCAAATCTGAGTATTTAAAATGCATCAGTCTCCCCTTTGGATGACTGGCTTTATTTCAAAACCAGGCCTTCGACCCGGTTCTACCAATGTGATCGGAAAGCTTGGCTCAAACTGAATGCCCTGACTGATATCTGTAGCATCAACGTGGAAAGCAGCCTACAAACATACAGACTAATAGCTACAGATGATGAGCTCTACACCCATCAAAGGCACGCCAACAGCACCTGGCCTCCTCCTAAAAACTAAAACATCTGAATCAGGAGCTACAAAGAGCAGCTGGGCCCAGCTGTTTCACAAAAAGCCCTAAAAACACTTAAAATACCACTTTGGCATTTCACCTAAAACAAAAACATTGGTTCAATATTTGGGAGTTCTTTGCTATTATAGAGGTCTTATATTCTCAGCTGAGAGCAGATATGATTTTAAATTTCTAATGTACCCAATTTGAACATTTTAAAAGATAAATCTGTATTAACAGGTGATTTGAAATCCACCTTTCTGTCTCAGAGTAGCATGTAATCTGAACATAATCTGAATCTGAAGTACCATGCATGGATTGAGGACGTCAGCATATATGGACCAACAGATACTGACAACCTATCATAAAGAGAAAACCGTTGTCCACAAAACAGAATCTGATAGAATATCCTTTTTTAGATTTTATTTTAGTCAGGGCAAAATGAATCGTGGATGGTATAAATCTTTTCCTTTCTGCCCACCATATGTGAATTATTAGTTGAAAGAGGCTTTTCAAAGCCAGAAAGAGGCGTGGCTTAAAATCTATGGACAAGGTTTTGACAACAATAGTGTAGTATAGCGTGAAACTTTAAGCTTCCTTCATTCACTGCAGATTAACGATGCTGGTTTCAATCTTAACTGGAAATCAATACTTCTACCTGAAGACTATCATCTTGGTGAAAAGACAGATCATTTCAGTTGTGAGTACCCTTCTCCTTAAAGTGAGTGCTTTTAATGTTAGTTTTGGGTAGCCATTTTTTTTGTAAGAAAAGTTTTGGAACTATTATAAATAACTTTTAAAGAACGCTGCTACAGTGAGGAAAATACTTTTTTGGACACCCTGCTATTTTGCAAGTTCTCCCACTTAGAAATCTTGAAGAAGTCTGAAATTGTCATCGTAGTTGCATGTACACTGTGAGAGATATAATCTAAAAATGAATCCAGAAATCACAATGTATGATTTTTTTTTTATATTTATTTGTATAATCCAGCTGCAAATAAGAATTTGAACACCTATCAGCTAGAATTCTGACCCTCACAGACCTGTTAAGTCGGCCTTCAAAATGTCCACCTCCACTCCATTTATTATCCTAAATTAAATGCACCTGTTTGAGGTCGTTAGCTGCATAAAGACACCTGGCCACCCCATGCAATCAGTGAGAATCCAACTACTAACATGGCCAAGACCAAAGAGCTGTCCAAAGACAAAATTGTAAACCTCCAAAAGGCTGGGAAGGGCTATTGGGAAATTACCAAGCAGCTTGGTGAAAAAAGATCCACTGTTGGAGCAATCATTAGAAAATGGAAGGAGCTAAATATGACAATCTTCCTCACAGGGGTGAAAAAAAAAGCCCAGAACTACATGGGAGCAGCTGGTCAATAACCTGAAAAGAGCTGGGACCACCGTTTCCAAGGTTATTGTTGGCATTACACTAAGACGTCATGGTTTGAAATCATGCATGGCATGGAAGGTTCCCCTGCTTAAACCAGCACATGTCAAGGCCCGTCTTAAGTTTGCCAATGACCATTTGGATGATCCAGAGGAGTCATGGGAGAAAGTCATGTGGTCAGATGAGACTAAAATAGAACTGTTTAATCATAATTCCAGTAACCGTGTTTGGAGGAAGAAGAATGACGTGTATCATCCCAAGAACGCCATCTCCACTGTGAAGCATGGGGGTGGTAGCATCATGCTTTGCTGTTTTTCTGTACCTTGGACAGGGCAACTGCACTGCATTAAGGAGAGGATGACCAGGGCCGTGTATTGGGAGATTTTGGGGAACAACCTCCTTCCCTTAGAGCATTGAAGATGGGTCGAGGCTGGGTCTTGTAACACTCTGGGAGGAGCATATCAAGGTTCTGGTGTGACCTAGCCAGTCTCCAGACCTAAACCCAATAGAGAATCTTTGGAGGGAGCTCAAACTCCGTGTTTCTAAACAACAGCTCAGGAACCTGACTTGTCTAGAGAAGATCAGTGATCAGGAGTGGGCCAAAATCCCCCCTGTAGCATGTGCAAACCTGGTAAAAAAAAACTACAGGAAAATTTTCAGTAAATGGGCTGTACTGATACAGCGCTTTTTCAAAGCACTTTGCCAGAGACAGACTTGACAAAAGTGCATCACACTACATTCAGTCATTCACCCATTCACGCACACACTGCCACAGCTAGTGATTATTATTTTTTTTTTTTAGATTATGTCTCTCACAGTGGATTTGCACCTACGATTGGAAAACTTGCAAAATAGCAGGGTTTTAAAATACTTATTTTCCTCACTGAAAGTATTTTCTTCTGCCAGGGCTTCTACTTAAAAACAAGAAGAGGTTAAAAAAAAACAACAACCAAGCAGCTCTGCAAAGATCCTAAATGTTGAACTTTTACATCGGTGTGGCAAACAAAAGTCTGGCTGTTGCAGCAGGGGAACTCCGGGACGGGTCGTATCACAGTAGCATACTGAATGCCCACTGAGGACACATTAAGACAACACTGCTGATTAGCTTCACAATAACACTGATAAATAAAACCCCTGGGGGGATTTAAATGCCTGAGTCCAGTGGCACTTGATAATCCTTCATAATTTTAAGATTCCTGGCCTCAGTGACTGCGAAGCCCCCCCATGGTTTTTAAATGTTGCGTCCTCTTTTTTTTTTAAATGGAAAAAAATCTAAGGCATAGATACATTGTTTTTAAGATAAAATATAAAGCTAACACCAATGACATTCAAGTTGTTGCAAAGTAAAAAAAGGTAAAACAATTGCATAAATAAAGCGTGCCAGCTATGATTATGTGAGCATACATATATAATTGGTTGTTACATAGTGATAATACTGATAGTGATTATACTGAGGTATTTTCATAGGGGGGGGGGGCGCAGTTAAAGTACACAGATCTGTGTGAAAAAGCAACACAAACATGCATCAGATTGAAAACAAAGAGGTGTCAGTGTGTTCTTCCCTTTTGTGTTCAAATCATTCAAGTTTTATAAAAGCGACAGTGACATTTTTAAGATAAAGCGTCATTAAGATCAGATATTTCAGTAAGAATCAGGGCACCAGATGAAACAAGTCTGTACCAACACCCTGATCAGGGAAGAAGCTGCTCCAGCGTTGGATTGTCTATCTCATTCACTGCCACAATGTGGTCCAGGTGCTGCAGGTAACGCACCTGATCACGCATGAAGTGCGGGATCCTGGTTCGATTCAGCGCCGCATGAGGGCGGAGCCTCTCAACGTCTTCAAAAGACACCTGCAGAACCAAAGGGTGACAGGTTGTAAATTTAGAAAAATCACTTTGGAAACCAATACTGGATTAAATAAACCTTCAAACCCACTTTGCTTTGAAGGACAGATTTTCTGTCCTTTTCTATGAGTGGCCTAAATTACAAGCCCTTGCAGATTGATTGGTTGATTATTCAGCTGACAAACACTTGACCTAAAATCCTTCCTTTTGTGTTTATACCAACAACAATAAAAGATAAAAAAAAATAAAAAATGTTAGTAAAATGTTTGTCGAACGAAACAAAGCCGTTTTGGATGCCTACAGGCGCTACCCAGGGCTTAAAACGAGATACCTTCAAGTTTTTGCAAAGAAGAGAATAACTGCAAAATGAGTAGCTGTGGAGTTACATCAGCTCTGTCCTATTTTCTTTATTTTTCCTTTCATCTTGTACCAGTTGTAAACACTAGTATCATTTAATAAAAAGTGGTATCAGGAGGCAGGGTTTTGAGGCTTCAGATAAGTTGGACAAGTTGCCATCATAAATAAAAAAAAGCATGTAGAACTTTGTACAAAGAGATAACAAACCTGTCCTGTGAAAAGCTTCATTAGGGCTACATTCATATGTTCATCTACCCGACCATTATAGGAATATAAGCTTCCGCCTCTGAGAGCTCCAGGATCTCTGCTGTGAGACAATCAAAGCTGATGTTCCCTCACCTTTCCTAAGGACGTCAACATCTTAAAGTCGATATTCCTTCGATGCCTAAGAATCCGCAATATCCCATCCAGGTAGACCTGATCCTTACTGAAGCAGCCTTAAGGACACACACAAAAAAACAAAAAAAAAACAATGATCCAATGGTAAAACATGCATTTCCTGCCGATAGATAAATACACAGCCCAGGCTCCATTTTACCCTGAGATTTGTCTTTCAGGCTACAGAGAAGCTGATATTTTATGGATGTTAACAGCTCATCACATGCTTGCCCAACTTAAGACATTTTATCTGTAATTTAGACAATAACTCCCATCTCACTGACAAGAATTGTTGGTATTGTTTTTTTATGATATAAATAGCTCAGGTTTACAGCAGGGACTGACAGATAGGGGCAAAAAAAATGAATACTTTCTGATGTTGTAAATCCCCCGACAGCTCATTGCAGATTTACTGACTAAAGCAATAAACTACAAAGTCTCTTCACAGTTTATAAATCTAAATGATAATGAAAAGAGCCACATTTAAACCTATGTTAACCAATTTTACAGGAGTCGATATTAAAGGCAATCAGGGTGTTTCCCTAAATGACACCCTAATGAATGACTTTTTAAAACATGCTGGTCCTCCTGTAGGTCTGGTTGCTGTTAATCTGGACAGATTAGCAAATCTAATTAGCAATTCAAAGAAAGCAATTATAACATCGTCAAATATGCATACATACACACATACCTAGGTGTCTACATTTGTAGAGAGGTTTTTGATCATTAATCAAGAGAGCAGAGCAGCTCCACCCTTTGAAATAAGCCCTCAAAATAAACCACAAATTAAAAAAGCGCCAAGGCAGCTTTAACGGCATTGTTCAAGATATAGTTTTTTTCAAATGTAAAATACATTACAGATTTGTTGTCAGTCTATTAACCACCCAGACCTCTTGGGTCCTGTGGGTAAATACTCTACATACCTACATAAAATAAATCTGTCTAATACCTAAAACCAGAACCCAACACGGCAAAGCAGCTTTTAGTTTTTTGGTCCGCTAATCTGGAATAAACTCCCAGAAAACCGTAACCAGTGAGATCCTAAATCCTCGGCATGTATGCGGTGCAGATCCACCAGGCAGTCGCAGCTAATTACAGCAACTATAGTCTGAGTGTTTCCACCAGGTCCACTGCAATGCATTTCTGCAGCGTCCTTCACATACTCGCTGGCCGCTTCTCTCAAACGGGTGGTTGTTTTATGGTTGCCGCTCTAACTCCACGCCACTGCAGTGCAGAGCAGATTATTCAGGCAGGAAGTCCGTTGATAAAACAGATCCAGACTACATGTGCAGACTGGATCCCATTTTCTTGACTTTTATTTACGGTAATAAAAAATAATAAAAAATCTGTACATACAGTTGATGGACAACCATAATAAATATGAACATTTAATTAAAAGTATATATTTGATATCACCCACGATAGAGCCAAAGAAAACAGAGTAGGTTGACTAGAAAAAGAGAGCACACAGATGCTGGTAGTACTGGCAAAACAAACACTGTACTGATTTATTGTTCTATTTAAAGCCTGAATGTTTACTACTATAGTGCGATGATGCAACCTTGATGTGACCCGTGTCTAAACGAGCAGAGTTGCTACGCTGGTGCAAGGTAGTGTCCTATGATGTATGTTTTTTCCAGTTCCTCTAGGTAATGGCTACAGTCCTACGAGGTCCATATTCAAATAGTTTGTTTTTTTTTCTTTTGCTTTTTGATTTTCTTTTCACTTCCAGTGGAACCAAGGGATATTTGAAACAAGTTACTTTTTTCAGTCCCTTTGAATGCGCCATTTAAACATTAGTAGGTTTAGTTTGCAGTTCAGTTTAATTTCCCTGTATTATCATTTTAATCACCATTTCATTTTTATTGCTTTAGTTAATTATCGGTTTTATTATTTTAATCTCTCCTACTGTGCCACTGCAATGTACTTGTGTGTTTTCCCTTTATATTTTCTCACTTTTAATAGTCTTGTTACTGAAATTAAGCTTATGAGTAAGGTGTCCTAACCTGAAAGGAGTCAGTGCTATAATGGGGTGTGGCGGCCTAGTGGTTAGGGCATAGGGCTTTGAATCCTGAGGTTGTGAGTTCAATCCCCTCACATTGCTCCCCGGGCGCAGCATAATGGCAGCCCACTGCTCCCAAAGGGGATGGGTTAAATGCACAGAACTAATTTCGTTGCTCTGTACTGGTGACAGTGGAATGAAAATAAAGTTGAATTCTATTCTAATATTTTTAAACATAGCTACAAGCATAAGTTATAAACAGCTGCAAGAAGAAGTTATAAACACAGCTGCAAGTAGACATTATAAACACACTTTATAAACACAGCTATGAGCAAACTTTATAATCACAGCTGCAAGGAGACTTTATAAACACAGCTATGAGCAGACTTTATAAACACAATTATAAGCAGTCTTTAAAAAGAAAGCTGCATATATAAACATGCAATTGAACATTTTATAGTGTAAATATGCATTTGCTGATGCTTTTGGATTTTATGCTAGCTACAAAAACAAATTTTATAAAGGTTGCTTTATGTAAAACATTTTGGCACTAGTCTGTCATCGTAAAGTGACTATGGCACACTTTTCCATCAAAAAATAATAATTTGAAGAATATTAATATACCAAACCAAGACATTGTTACAGAATAAAGACAGAATAAAATAAACTTTTGACCCAAAATAGACAACGTCAGGGCACATGCATTGTACCAGCGTAATTTATGAACAGTTAAAGTAGACAGTAGGTTGCTCAAAAACAAACTTAATTTGGTAAAAAAAACACATTTGTGCTTGGTTGCAGTAATATTGTGACACTTGACATCAGTTTACAGTTTTTCATTTGGAGTGAAGAGAATTAGCACTGCTTGAACGGAGCTGTAAAACCGAGCAGAGCCAGCTGGACTGGTCTGAGCAAGCACAGCCTGTTGTGATCTGAGGACTGGTAAAATATCAAGCCTTCTGACAAAACTTCTCCAGCCATTTCTGTCTCAAGACAGATAAAGCATTCCAGTGCTTCTTGTTAATAATAGAAATCTGAAATAACTATAATCAGAATAAGAGATCAGTTCCAAAGGCCAGTCATGTTCATTTTATTTCTAATAAACAACAGGAAACCAGTTCTGCTCATGGTCTGCATTATACTAATGTCTAAAATAGTTTAGCTGATTCATGCTTTTATATTTTCTGAACATAGCAAGTAGATATACCTGCTTAAGAATTAAGATTTTTATTTTAAGGATAAAACTCCACTTTCATGCATTTTATTATAAAACTAAATTAATAAAAACACATTAGAATGATGAAACTTCAAAGCATATGGCATGCTGAAATAAATGCATCACTGAAAGGTTGAAAAAAAATTACAAATCAAGTAGTGTTTCCTAAAAGTCTTAAAAATCATCTGTTACATGTGCTGCTCCTCCACGCTGCTCTGATACGGCTCCAACGCTTACAAAGCTGCGCCCTAAACGTCTGCTCTGCTATCCAATGACTGATGGTTTGTCTCCCTTTCTGATAGTGACTGAAGTATTTCAGCTGTGTAGCATTTATTTCAACAGTATGAGTAACTGTATTTGCTATGAGGAAAGGACGTCACAAGCACTTTAAGGGAGGTCTATCTCTATAAAATCAAAACGCATGTCTTGATGAGTCGATAAAGCTGCAAACAAGTTTACTAATAAAGCATCTTTTAGCAGCTAAAGACATAATAATAATCATAATAATAATGATAATACTAATAATAATCTCTTCATGGACAGTTAATAATTGATCCAATAAGGGCAGAAATATAAACCGAAGTGTGCTCACCAGGCTGAGAGGTGTCCGTCTGTCCCCTCTTGGCTCGTAGACAGTACTCCCAGCGGACGTCCGGGTTTTGGACAAAGCGTGATATGTGGCTGAAGAGCTGGCTAAAGCTCATACTGGAGGCATGGTACACTGTGTAGTAGAGCAACGCCGCTCGCCACAGGTACGGCTGCTTCCTTAGCAGAACGCTGTGCAGGCTGGCCAGGCCCTCCTCTGTGGGGTTAACCGGTTTCAGACCGAACTGCTTCCTGCCTTCGGAGGAGGCCCACGGCTGCAGGTTGTTGTTCACTCCTCGCAGGTAATGTGTGCCTGAGGAGAAGCAGGGAGATGCTGCAGCTAATTTCCCACAGATCCTAAAAATTATGCTTTAAATGTACAAAAAACTAAAAAACACTATATTACTTCACCTCTTTCCATCCTTCCCCTTTGATTCCTCCACTGACCCACTCTATTCTTTCTTTTCTAAACCCTCCTTTTCTCCCCTTCATAGTTCTTCCAGTATCTCCCCTCTTTCCAAACCCCTTCTACCTTCACTTCTTTCCCTTCATTTTCTTTCCCTCCCTTACATTTCTTTCCTTTTCATCCAACTTCTGTTTAAAGTATTTCTGATTCTCCTTTCCTCTGTCCCTTCCTTTCATCCTTCATTCCTCACCTTTTCATTAATTTATTTTCCTTCTCTTTCCCTCTCATGTTATCTTCTTCTGCCACCCTTGTTCAGTTCTCTGTATCTCTTATTTTACTTTTCCTGCCTCAGTTCCATCCTTGCCTCCTTGCCTTTTTTCCTTTCAAACAGTTCTGCCTTACAGCAACACAACAATACCAAAGGATCACAAAATGCAAACGAGGCAGGGTTCAAAACTCAAAGACAGATAAAACATGGCGCATCAGGGTGGTTTGTTATCTTAGCCTTTTTATAAGTTAGAGAGCCTTCAGTCTTTTTTGAGTTACAGAGAAATCATTTATGTAAATTTGATTTCTAATGAAACATATTTATAAGCTTTAATGCAGACCTGCAAAGAGGTTTTTGCACATCCATAAATGTCAACAAAATAGAGCAGCATTTTTTTTTTTACTCGTTTAACTGCAATCTGTAAACTGTAACTGTCCAATGAAGGTCAAAGGAACTGCATATTTGCTGTATGGCAACTTTTGAAAAAATATCAGCTTTTAACAGGAATTATTTTATTAAATCAGTTTGTACAGAAACAGATGCTATCAAACAAGCTAGATTTCTAGTTTAAAATATAAGGATAAATCCTCAGTGCAATTAAAAATACATTACTGAACCCAAAGTAAATAGAAATCCTGCATTACAAGTAATCGGCCAACTGCAGTTCTTGCCTTCTCCCTACCTCACTTCCCTGACCTCTACCCTTTCCTTCCTCCCGGTGGAGCCAAACAGAACTTCCACCATCTGGATCATTCAACCATAACTGGCTGCCAAGTTCATTGTTTCAAAGACGGTTGGTATATTTCTTGTTTTCTTTTTGGAATGAATAGAAACCTTCTGTTAATTTTCTTTATATTAGTTATGCTATTGTTTTAATAAAAAAATAAAAAATAAAAAAATAGATCAGATGTTCTCCCCCCCTAAAAAGACAGTTTGAATATATACAGGAGGATTATGGGAATAAATGCCACATTACAGACGCCTCTGAAGGACACTTTTTAAAGAACAAAAAAATATTTTAAGGTAAATCTCCAGATATTTTTAAGGCCAAAAATGTTCCTTATTATGATTGGACGAGCGCCCCGACTTTAATGGCCCCCGCTTTCCTTTCCTCCCTTTGTTTTCTGACCTGATCTCCTTGTTTTCTTCATTTCCTGAACTTCTCAACACACAGGGGAAAACTGGACAGGCTGCTGTTTATTCCTACAGGTTCTGATTTATTTTCAAAGCTATCAACTTTCATATGAATTAATGGTTCCTTAGAAAACTGCTGAGCTGCTTTAAAGTGATACATCAGTATCCTGGAACCAGTTTGGGCTCACTTCTCTCTCTGTATGTAGTTTCCATATCTGCAGTGATTAACAATGATTCAGAGCCTCTGGTTTGGACCCTTCAGCTGTGTGGCCAGATCAGTCATGACAGCTATGGTCTGGTATCTGTGGAAGCTGCAGCTCACCGATCTCATGCCTCAGCATCCCCTCCAGCCAGTGCTGACGAGCCCCGGCCAGGTTAATGGTCAGAGTGGGACGGCAGCTCTCCACCACCATGACTGCCTGAGACAGCAGCTCGTCAGAGAGACGCACCACCACCTGAAAACACAGACAGAGAGCTATACACACCTGCAGCAGCTAATCCAGCTCTGCAAGATGCTACACAGGCTTGGGTTACAGACTGCTCCACGTTATTGGATCAGACTTTAACTCAAACACCTCAGATAAATGAGAGGCTGTACCTCAATGGAGGCATATTACACAGAAAGCACATTTATATCCTTTTAAACTCAACACCAAAGGATTTACACATGACCTGGATTTAACCATGCAAACAAATAAAAGGCTTTCAGAGAAATGTCCAAATATCCTGTTTCAGAGAGCTTGGATTAATGGAGCGGTTTAAGAAAGCTAAGAGGGTGCAGTGGCAAGTGCAGCGAGGTTAGAACATGTTTGAGTTTTTGTCAGCTTGCATCCACAAACTTACCTCAGCTCGGTTTGATTAGGATTTCATTCAAAGAAAAGCACAGAAAAGCACTTTCCAGTCATTTTAACATGCCCTATTGTACATTTTTTAACATGTTCATTAATCTTTTGCACAATATTACTCTCAGACAATAGGATTTCACCCTCTCAGTTGTCTATTTTGAGCTCCTTTTAAAATGAGCTGTTTAAGGGCTCTGTCACTTTTAGGTGATACTTATGCATTAAAAGTGGTTCTACAGTTTTACTATATGGAGGCATGAACACAGAGAGATGAAAATCCTCTCATTTCCATTTGATAGAAATTGTGATAAGGATCCATTTCTGTAGTTCATGTTCTACTTGGTGTTGTTTGTGGTTGTAACTGAACAGAGCAGAGACTGACTCATTCCTGGACTCATCCTAGACCAGGATGAAACGATTAGCTCATTAAGGGACACCTTGTGTCACGCAGCCACGCTTTGTAGTGGTAATGGCATAATCTGGATTTTGCTAGACTTACAACATAAACCTTACAGTAAAACACAGTTTCTAAAGCTGGAACATATTGAATAAACAGAAGGAAAAAAAAATAGAAAAGCTTCCCTGATTGTTAAGGAATATCTGGCGTTACTGTAGCAGGATTAAGACTGTGAACATCAGGGAACATAGAACAAATTTATATCTTTACAGATTTCTGGTTTAAATAAGGGGCTGCGCAGTGTCGCAGTGGGTAGCACTGCCGCCTTGCAGCAAGAAGATTATGGGTTTGATTCCCGGCCCGGGTTCTTTCTGCATGGAGTTTGCATGTTCTCCCTGAGCATGCGTGGGTTCTCTCCAGGTACTCTGGCTTCCTCCCACAGTCCAAAAACATGACTGTTAGGTTGATTGGCTTCTCTAAATTGTCCTTAGGTGTGAGTGTGTGCGTGAATGGTTGTTTGTCCTGTGTGTCTCTGTGTTGCCCTGTGATGGACTGGCGACCTCTCGCTCATTGACAGCTGGAGATAGGCACCAGCACAAGCGTGTAAGAAAATGGATGGTTTAAATAAATACTTTGGCATTAAATTAGCACCAAGACATATTGCAACTATAAATTTAAAATGCTTTTTATTTCCTTACCAAGTAGTTTTAATATTTGACCATATGTGGGCTGGTCAGGATTTATTTATGTTCAGAAACTGTAACGGATTTTGTTCCATCATCCCTTATTTTAATATTTGTAATGTTAAGGATCAAAAGTAAATGACGTTTGCGAGAGCGATTCCCCGCCTGTGTGACACAGTTGCGACAGAGTTTGCTAAAGCAGCCGCCTCCAACACCACAAACTCTTGCCTGTGGCTCTTGGGCCTTGATGGGGGAGACACACTGTGGTTTTCAGCTGAGGTTACATCGTAGCCACCAAATCCCCTTCAGAGAAGAGTCTATGTTTTGCTGCTGAATCAGACTGCATCCTGTCTATGATTCACAGGGAGCTGAATGTAGTGTCTTGTTTTTCCTGTGTTTCAAACCAGATTGAACACAGTTTTTTTTGCGATGTTCAAATTGGATTACTACTTTATCCGTTTTCTATCCTCCGGATCTCCTATCATGGGTAACGTATAATTTTTTTGTTTTATGTTTCTTTTTTTTTTCTCTGTCCAGCTTGACTCCAAAACTGACTGTTGACCCGTGCACTTCACATTAGACCCATTAAATTGCCCCTGAATTGCTGCGTAGTCCAACTAAAATAGACCTGGGTTCCATCTCAGTCAGAGCTAAACGCCATCAAAGAGCGCTAAACGCCACCCCCTCGTCAAACACGATTTTCTCTTAGATCGGTCGCAAAATCTAATTCGGTGTGTTCTGACCTTTACTGGCCACTTAATTCTCTGTTTCCCTTTGTTTGAAGAGTTAAGCTCTACGGTTGGACTGGCTTGCATTGTTAGCTCCAAGCTACTTCATGGTAACAGCCATTTTATGAGTCCTCCAACCTTTTGCTCAGCCCCGGACACTGGACCGCCAGGGGCCGGCTGAACTAACCCATATTGTGGAAGGCCTATTACACGTGCGAGGGCATGCACCTGCCCATTTCTCCTCATGTACTCTCTGTTTAAAAGTTGCTGTTTGCATCGCTCATACAAGCTTACTTTCTAAAACCAGTAAGTGAAAATGGGGACGAGCACGTAGGACGACCTTATGTAAACATATTACCAGAATGATTGACAATTAGGAGGACAACTTATTTAATGATCCACTGGGAAAAAGAAAATTCTCTACTATACCTTTAATGTATTCCTGAGTCATTTTTGATTTTTCACTGTTTGATTGCATTTTAAATATCTGCGTCAGGGTTATTCACATTTATCTGCAGCTACGTTAAAGGAAACCTTGAATGCTTTTAGACTTAAAACTTAATTATTCCTCAGAGACTTTTGAACAGACTCTTAAAACCATTTCCCCTTTTTATTTGCTTTATTTACTTTACTTATGCTTATTTTCAATGGTGTTTAGTATTTGCGTAGTTGTTGGAAACAATCAAATTGAGTTTGATTATTAGCTGATAAAGTTACCATTGTTTTAACCAGCGGTCTTTTGTGGTTAATTCATGCAGTGAACAATTTATCACTCGGACCAGATTCACTCTTTTTTCAGTAACGTCCAAATTAATAGAGACAAATTGCTTTGGTTGGTGATTATTAACTCCGCTGATAGCCATAGTTTACTGAATTGATGAAGGCAACTGGATTTTAACAGCTGCTCCAGTCCAACCTTTATGTAAAAGATTAAGAACCCTGGTGAATAAGGAATTTACAGTTACAGTTATTTAAATAATAATCATTACTTGGTTTTACCCTATTTGAATGACCTATTAATTATCTAGAACTGAGTAGAAAAAAAAATGAGTATAACTGGAAGTTCTACTCATTTAATATATTCATAACAGTCTGTTAAAATTGCACAATGCTAATTAATAACAATTAAAGAATATAAAAAAGTCTGAACAGGAAGATTTAAAGCAGACAATAAAAAAAGCAGGCAGATTTTTAAAACATCCTCCAGATTTAGCGTCATCTAGCTGAACTCACCTCCCCAACACAGCCCTCCTTTTGCAGGTATTTGCGTACCGCAGCCCAGACCTGGCTCTTCGGCAGAACGTTGCCACCTGTCACCTCCTCAAAGTTCTCATAAGTGCCAAACTTCCTCAGGACGCACTCCATGATTCCCACCGCCTGTGGACAATCAGAGACAAACACAATCATCACCTGGACTCTAAGGCAGGGATTAAAGGTGAGATCTTTACCCACCTGCTCCAGGAAGAGGCCTGAACCCTCTCTGTATTTGTCCAGCACGCTCCTTGGCTCTGGTTGGGCGTACTCAAACTGAGGCTCGTACTTGTAGTCGGACTGGAAAAACGTCTGTTTCTCCTGCTCCAGGTTCAGAGGTCTCAGGGCGACTAGCAGACAAGGACGGGCTGGCGAGCTAAGCGCAGACCCCACAGATCCTTTAGCTATGTGAGGCAGGGAGGTAGCGGGTCGCATCTGCCCCCTGCCGGCCCGCAGACCCAAGGGGTAGTTGACAGAGCAGGTGCTTTCACTGCGCCGCATCCAACCGCCCGCTTTAAGGCTTGGGCTTGTAAGGCTGCGCGTCGGCGGCGAGGGAGCGGCTGAGCCACTGCGCCAGGGGGGCTGCTGGACCCTCCGGTCAGCCACTTCCTGGGACCCTCTCAGACGCTGCGGTGTCACCTCCATACTGAGGGGGCGATGGAGCGGTGCCCTGGCTCTCCTCTCCACCCCCTGCCCCCCACCCGTCAGGCTAGGCATCCCGTTCTGCGACACCTTCTCCCTCTTGGTGGCACTGCTCCGTTTGGCTTGAGGTCTGTCAGTTTTTGTGGGATCTGGACGGACATCTCGCTCCAAACTATCCCTGGTGTTTTCACCATCGACCTGATCCATGAAGACTTCACCTGAGTCCAACACCATCACCACAGCTGCCGCGCCTCAGGCTTCACCTCATCTAAACCTGTTTAAAGAAACAGTACAAACATCACTAATGACTTTTGTTACCCGTTCAACATTGTTTGTCTTCACATTTAAAGTTGTTTTGGGAATAATGGCAATTAACAGTACAAATGAATTACAGGTGGCCTGCAAACAAATTATTTTTGTGTCTGGAAGCATTATGACTGGGTTTCCTTTTTTGTTGTTCTCAAAGTTGATGTAAAAATTACTGGAGTTAAATACAGGTCAATCCTGGAATATGACTTGCTTGGATGCTGCAGAAAAGTTCAGAATGAGGTGGAAGTTCCTCACAGCAAAAAAAAAAAAAAAAAAAAAAAAGTTACAATGGAATGGTTTAATCTGTTAGAATGGCCTAGTCAAAGTAAAGACCTAAATCTAACTGAGAAACTGAATTAAAATAAAAATGGTGTCTACAGATTCTCACTATCTAGTCTGACCTATTATATAAAACCAAAGTAAAACACTGAAGTTTGTGGCTCTACCAACAATATAGCACCTTCAATGGGTATGAATGAATAAATGAATGGATTAATGAATAGCTGTGATTTAAGAACTTTTCAATGTTTCTGGGTGAATAGAAGGAGCGAAATGGACAGATGCATTTAAACAGGGTGATTTTGGATAGCATGTCAGTCATTTGTTGGTGGATAAATCCAGGATATCCGGATAGAAACTATCCCAAAAGGAAATAAATCTCTGCATTTCCATCCCATGGTAGAAACTAACTGTTGGTAAAAAGCTCTTTGAATTGATGGATACAAAAAAACATCAAGCTGAAGCTGAGAAACAAAACCAACTCAGTTCAGCGTTTACATTATTTCCTGTATGGGACCTTTTAAACTCAATAAACCGCACTTGAAGTCGCTAAAAACACTCACCAAGCTATAATTAAAAAAAAGAAGAAGAAAGTCCCGGTTCTCCTGGTGAGGATGGGAAGGTTTTAGCGGCTCCTTCCGCTCGCAGCCGAAGCGGAGCCGCGTTTGTTTCCACCGGGGGACGGTGATGGTGATTAGCGGATAACGGATTAGGGAGGAGCGGGGCCTGAGGCGGCTGGGAGCCGGCCACCGAGCGGCGGATGTGTTGGAAGATATGACGCGGCACGCCCTGCGCTACGTCACCCAGCTACGTCACTACGTCCAACAACAGATGAGGGACGGACCGCACTAAATTGGTTGAATTATTGTGTTGTTCAGCAGTTATTAACTTAATTTACCGCAAGATAAGAATCATAAAGAATACAGTTGTAATAGAATGAAATTAAACCCTTCTTCAAATTTCATTTTTTTTGTATCATGCTTCAAGCAAAAATTAGACTTAGACATTTTATCTGTCATTTAGTTTACACAAGGGTAAAACAAAAAGAAATTTCGTTTGGAACCGCTCTCTAGACAGTTTCATCTTTTCAAAAGTGCAGCCTTGAAAAATAGTAAAAAAAAAACAAACAAAAAAACAACAAAAAAAACATATCTTATCAGAATCTATAATTACTTATTTAGCGCAACAAAGACTTAATAACATAGAAGAAGAATTTCAAAGTGTGAACAAAGTAAGAAGATCTTTGATGTTTCTATTTGTTTTAGGTTGGGGTGGGGGCATTGAGGTAGTAAAATCCAGACAATTAAAATAAAAAGTTTTTATATCAGACAGATTTAGAGACAGACAAGAGAGAAAAAAAATCTGTCATCCCATCACTTTATTTTTTATTATATTAATAATATATCTCTACATGCATCAAATCACCATGCAGAGCAAACAGGCTGAACAGAATTTCCAATTCAACCAGATAAATATGTGTAGCTTTTTCCTTGTAATGACAAAAAAAAAAAAAATGCTGACTGTGGATCCAGTACCAATATAAATATATGTATAACAAAATGAAACAATTGAACTAAAAAAAACAAACAAAACAACAACAAAAAAATTACCTTCTGTAACCTGAAGCATAGGCTTCTTCTGAATAATGCAAATTAGACACTCAAGCAAAGCAGAAGCACATTATCAGTCGCAGTGATAAGTACTTTTTGAAGAGTGGTGACTGTAAGGAAGGAATTAGGAAGAAGAAGAAGTAGTTTGCTTCCTATCACCAGTTCAGGGAGAATCGGACATCCTAACATTCCAATGCACTGCTAGGAGCTATACTGCTGTCCACAATCCTTCGCATGAAAGGATCTATGAGTGTATTAACAAAAATATTTTATTTCATGACATATACTCTATGTGACTTATGAAAATGTTCACGCCTACGTATGATCTCAGTTTTATAATGGAGACTTTCAGCCGTTCGTTACATTTCTGTCACTTTTGTTTTTGGTAGTTATTTCCCAGCATGCTTTAGTCCCATTTCACCATTTTTATTCGGTGTTGGTGGCATACTGATGTCTAAAGGCTGTCTGGATAGAGCATAGCATTCTAGAGCTGTATTCCCACCCTGGATATTGTTCTTACTGTTGATCTCATAAAAGATAAAAGGATGGGAGCCAGTAAGAGGAGGCAGAAGCTATTATTTGAGGTATTCAGAAGGAGCCATAGTCTCACAGCTTCCTCCTGCTCTGCATTAACAGGAATTGAAAACCCAACTGTGCATAATTAAATGTCAAGTTGGATTCACATAAAGGCTATTCTCACAATGTGTTGCCTTGGACAGACGAATTCTGGTCACTGTTATTATGTTAATCTAAAGGTTATCCCTGCTCTGCTGCCGCACTAGAGACTGGAATAACTAGTGGACTTTAGCCAGAGTTTTAAATTCTAGGAAAATTTTAGCCAACGGGGTGATTATAAGTCATATGTCATAAGGCAAGATGAATGGTTCCCTGATCAGGCAAGGACTGAGCAGCGGGACAACTGGTTGAAGCAGCTCATTATTCAGCCAAAAACCAAGAAAAAAAACTGTAAAACATGTAAAATATTTGGATAATGCAACCCCTGACATCAGGTGTAATCATTATCATTAGAATGATGTGATTGAAAAAAATATTTGAAAATATTTATGAGCATTTAGTTATAATTTTTGTTATAATGTAAAAACCTCAATGACCCTGAAATGACGTATTATTATGTTAACCAAATTTCCGTAAGGAAAGAAAAAAAGCTGCTAAGAAGCTGAGGTCGGATAGTAAATTGTCTGATGCGAACGTTCAAAAAAGGAATCTGCTGAGGTCAATATGGTGCTTATGTGAACTTAATTCACATCAAAGGTATAAACAATGTATCCAAAATATAACTTGTCAAACGTAGATTACAGCGATTCGTCTTGCGGTCATCAAAAAATACAGTGGCCCACTCAAACAATATCTACCAGTGACACTCCCACTGGTGAGTAATATGACCAATTACAAAATTCCTCCCAAATCTAATTGAACCATTCCCCTACAAAGAAACAACCAAACCAACAAATAAAGACAAAACCATAACAGCTATAAACTCAGACAAGCGAACATTAACGCATCTTTTCATTTATGGCTCCTACAGGAACACTCATTCTCTTTCTTTGTGATTATTCCCATCCCATGGCTACTGAGCCACACACCTAACCAACAAATATACCTACTATTTATAAGGCTCTTTGTACAAGCTAGATAAGTAAAAAGGGGCAAAATTAAAGAAACGGAAGGAAAAAAAAGGCCAAGAGAACAAACAAGTACATTTTTGTTTAGAAAAAATATCTAAACCTTTACAACTCCCACATACAGTCTGCAGATGTACCCACCTCTGTTTTTCTGGAAGGGTCATAGCACAGCTTACAAATCGAGGGAGAAATTGTTTACAAGTAAAATATCTGTGATAAAAACCCTCCTCTGATTGGATATGCATGTCAACTAGACTATCTTATTCTTAGAGCAGTTCAAAGAACTCAGGCGCTGCATCTGGGATCCTACAGGCCTCAGTTAGCATGTTTGTCTTGAAAGTTCAAGACAACAGAATAATTACAAAGATTGAACAAGTTTGGATTTTTGGAATATTTGAAGGAAATGCCTCTATTCCCTAAAAATAATATAATAGCAAAGCCTTTATTTATCTAAATGAATTAGTTGACTTTTTGAATGGTGTCCTTTCAATAATACTCTGAACTTCCGTATCAATGCGTTTTTGCACCATGTTTTTTTCTCCCATACTGTTTCCATTTGATCACTGCTGCACTTTATGAAATGGAAATGTTAATTTCACTGTTAAGCTGCTGCTCATTCACTGTCTGAAAGCTGTACAAATAAGAGAGAGCAGATGTGTACAGTACACAATACGCCAGAGATTTCAGTTTCAGTGCAGCACATGCAGCACACCTGCTGCTGAAGGAGAACTTTTCCTTACCCATAAAACGAAAGAAAAAGCCCATGGAGACAGATGTCTATGGCTGTGTGACCACGTGGCTCTATTATTGTAAAATTAGGGTGTGAGCGAGCCTTTCATCTGTTTTCTGCAGGCGGTGGCAAAAACTGCTGCACATCTGCAGATGAAACAATGCTGCTGCGTTCTTACTTGTTTGTTAGCAGCAGCTTAGGCTGGGATTTAGGCTCAATTCACCTGCTGTCTATTTATTCTAGGATGCATTAGGAGGATTTTAAGCATAAAGTCCCTAAATGGCCTCACCCTGCTCTATATGTCTGAGCTTTCACAGCCCTTCATGCCTCTTTGTTCTCTTAGTTTAACTGACCTTTTACTCTTGTCAGTACTAACAACCAGGCGAAGACTCATACAGTAGAAGTGGTTTGAAAGTTCCCCTGGTTCCATGATGGGTCCTTGGAAGGTCCTTCCCTGGTAACCGACAGGTCCGTGGGGTAATGTAATCCCCAGCGATGACGTCAGTGAGGCAGCACCCATAAGCTGCTAGAGTGTAAACCAGCTGCGATGCCTATGGGTGGAATTACAGTCAGCACTGACACTCCCAGCAGTGGCTGAAATTAGAAGGCAAGCTGAGAGGAAGCCGGAGGCCATTCGACTGCCTGGAGGAGAACTTTTAAACCGTTACTACTGTGTCTGTGTTTCTGGTCCTGAATGCTCTGTTGTTGTAAATAATGCATTCATCCCCACAGGGCCTTTTCTAATCTCTTTCAAAAGTGTTGTAGATCTTTTCTTTCTGGCTTTTAAAACTTTTGGGGAGTTGTTTTTTTTATGTCTGAGTATGTTATTGTTTTATGGCTGTAAAATTGATTTTATCATTTTTTTCTTCTATTAGATATATATTTTGTCTTATCTGTACATGTATGATTTAATTTTCATTTGCTTTGCTATTTGCTATTGTATCATATTTTATTCTACTCTGTTTCCTCATTTATGAGTCTGTTTATGTTTACTGATGAAGAAATGGGCTGAAGTGTAAACCTAAATTTACAGCTTGTTTTTTAAATCCTCTTAATGTAAAGCAGAAAGATAATCGCTTTTTATTTTTTTCAACATCAGGTGTTCATTTCCAAAAGCAGGTTTACTGAAAACTCAACGTTTTTTAAACCTGAAATCGGGGAAACTCAGAGTTTTCCGTTGCACAAAGAGAGTTCGCTCAACCTAGAGCTAACCTGGTCAGGAGCAGGTTTTCCTCAATAAACTCAGTGTCCTCTGTTTCCGCCCTCCTTACAGCCAATCACATTGTTTTATTTCCTAATTTAGTCAGGAGCGTTTTTTCTTAGTTTTGTGCATACATATAAAGAAAATTGTTCATATAGGTCCATTAGACATTTGGACATTAGGTGTCCAAATAAAAACATATATTCTCCCTTTGACAAGGATCCAATTAAAGTATAAGTGTCATCAATTTATATATAATTAAATATTTATAGGGAGAGGGCTCTCAGACTTTGTATAGATGTCCTTTGACAATAAGGTATCTTTACCAACTGAAAACCCAGCACATACATCTACAACCTCATCCATCCTCCTATTTGCAGCAACTACTTCTTTAAAAGGGATTTAACAACAGTTATTTATAAGTAATTAATATAGGATAGCAGCTGTATAAAAAAAGACTGCACAGTCAGATAGCTATAATTATTTACTGTGTAATGGAAGACAGAAATAAAATGAGGAAACCGTAAAATGACGGGTGCACTTCTTGCCCGTAACATTTCATCTAAATATAAAATAGATTGATCCACCACCATTCAATCAGTAAACTAGTTATCACTGGTAATATCATCGTGGTTAAAATAGACTATGGCAAGCCATTTTGATATTTAAAGATGGTCTTAATAGGTGTTCTTGATATCTGAAATACATTTTTTTTCTTGTCAAAATGAACTTTGTAAACAAATTGACATTCTTCATGTCTAAAATAAACATTCTGGATTTTTAGAAATGAGGTTTCCTGCTTTGGAGCGAGCTGAGTTGTTTTAAAATAAAGCTTGTTTCAAACGTCACTGACCTGTGCTGGTTTGAATTCTGTGTCCAGTCCCTGTTCCTAACAAAGATTACCAAACCAGCAATCTTGGCAGTTGTAGCGCTGTTGCTCTGTCTCTGCACTTTCTGTTGCCCGTTATCATGGTGACTCGTAACTATCAGTGGTCCACTGATAATAGCTTTTCATACTTATTTCATACTTGTTATACATGTGCTCAACTCTGAGTGGATCTACTTAGAGTTGATTAAACTAACTAACAGCTGCTCTTATGAAACGGAAATCTCAGAGCTTTCAACCTGAGACTAGATCAATTCAGATGTGAAGATTTTAGTTTTTTTTAAACATGCTTTGTTCATTGGAGAACACTTGCTTGGATGAAAACCCTTTTTCTTTACCTGACCACAGTGTTTGCTTTTTGTCAGAACAGCAAACAGATCTTGCCTTGTTGCAACCATTAATTATACTCCATTGAATTTGCTCGGTTTTTGTTTTATTTCTCCACAGGTTCCTTCTGGAGAAAAAACATTTTATTATTATCTTAAGCAGAAGTTTCCTCTGTGGAAGACTGGGTGGAAATTGTAGTTTTGGAGCAGGATGAATTTCAGGTGTTCCTAATGTTATACTGGTTCTGCAGCAGCTGCCCTTATCACATAGGACAGTGTGACACACAGAGCTAATGTATTCAAATTTATGAAAATTTTAAACCATTGTCATATGTACAACACTTACGCCAATAAATGAACATCAGGCAACCTAGACAGATTTAATGCAAATTTTAGGCTGAAGGTAAAACTTTATCCTTCAGTTGTTCAATTTAAAAGGATGGCTTAAAAAAGCAACTTGTGATTGTATTTCTGAGCAGTAAAGATTAAATAAGTATCAAATAAGTCTCCAGGATGAAAAAGATTAATATCTAAATAGTTTTGTTGTATTATTTATTATCAAGTGAGATTCAACTATACCTTAACTCCCCTTGGCAGAAACAAACAATTCAGGTTATTATATAAAAGTTTCTAAAGTAACACTTTTCAGATGTATTAGTGACTTTATCTCCTATGTAAGAAACTTAAATTTATTAGACCCCATTGAAAAAAAACAAACATCTGTTTTTGCTCTTCTTGGATACTTGAATGTTTCAGATCATCAAATAAATCTATGTCAGATAAGGATAAACTACTTAAATAAAAAAACTGTTTTGAAATGTGGATTTCAGTTCTAAAAGTGAAAACTGTAAATAGCCTGATGCTATGAGAAAATGTGTTTTCTCTGAGAGTTATTTTTAATTAACCTCAAGTTTTTCATTCGCATTCATTACTACCAGACTAGAAATCAATTAAATAGAACCGTTCTGGTTTGAAAGTATTATGGAAAAACATGGAGTTGTGAAAATTTTGCAAAGTAACAGAAGAAACTTTCATCCTGTTTTTCCCCTGGATTGATTCTGTCCCCGAAATGAGCCATTGCACCTATGCAAGACCAACAGTATAAATACCCTTATACCATATCAAACACCTTGGTGTAGTTGTTGTCCCCAAAAGATCCACATCAAGTTCCAACGTATGTTCAGGCTGAAATGACTATTTCCGGCATGGGTTTGAGAACTTTTCATTCTCGATAAATAAAATCTTCATTTAGAAATTGTATTTTCATATATTTACTGAAGTAATATTTTTCTGATAGAAAAAAAATCTCTTGATAATCTGACAAAAAACACAGTAAAATCAGAAAAACCTTTAACAGGAAGAAATTTTAATAGCTTTGTGCCTCACCAAAATAAAAAAGGGAGAAAAAAAGAGGATTTGAAGAGTAACAGTTGCTATTATCTTCAGAACGGAGCTTTGTCCATGTTTGAGTCTTTGGAGTTGGTCAGAGCCCCTTCTGTCTGTTAAACCGGATCTTCAGACCTTTGAAAAACGTCATTGCTGTGTGAAAACTTGGGAGGGGAGTGGGATGAAACCAGTTTTTCTCAGAGGTGTAATAATACCCTGCTGGACAAACACTTTGTCCGTGAGTGAATGACTCATGCAACACCTTAGCAGGGCGTAATGGTGGCTGCGGTCAGACTGCTATTAGCATGTTGCTATAATCAGGCTTTTAAAAGGGGCTCTCCAAAATGTAAATACACTTAGAAATAATGCTGGCCTGTAGTCAAGTCTAACACATAGTTAATGTTATTGAAGACATAAGGAGCTGAGCTTTAGGGTTAAACTGTTGAACATTAAGTCATAAATGCCAGAATTTGAGCTACACTAAATAGTTTCAAAGGATTGGAACGAGAACTGTTATATACATTTTTCATGACAAAATGACTTTGGGTAATTTATTATTTATGTTTCAAAATAGTATTTAAAGTTTTGTTTATATTTTTTTCCAGTAAATCCCTTCATAAATGTAAAGAAATATGCTAAATGTGTGTAAGATCGTCTTTTCTAAATATAGTTTTATAGTTTTTATAGTTTTCCTCTTAAGAATATGTGGACATACCACAGATTTATGTCAGCTGGTGTTTCTATTGTGCATAAAAATAAAATGAAACAAAGTCGCTTAAAATAATTATCTAACGTTCCAAAAAAGGAAGATAACTAGGAATAGATTTCACAAGAGCTGACAGTTTCAATATGTCACAAAATGGAGAAAGAACGTCATAATTAGGACAAAATTAGACTAAAAACATTCCCACAACCATATTTCCAAGAAGTCCCACATCAAGCTGGACAAAAGTGGAACTAATATCACCAAGAAAAGAGCAAGCTGTGAGAACAAAAGAGAAAATAAAACCTAAGGAAGTTCCATGACCTAAGGAAGAAGTTTTTGGAGCACATACTTTTTTACTTTTACTTGAGTAAAGAGGTCAAGTTGATACTTGTTTTTAAACTGCAGTATCTATACTTCTACTTAAGCAACAAATGTGTGTATTTTGGACACCACTGTGAATAGATTACCCTCAGATTGACACTGCAGAACTTATTAAACAAACTGAAACTACTCGTCAAAAGCCCCACAGCTGTGCTCCTCCTGAAGAAGAGCAGTTGAAAGTCTGTTATTACATCATTACTGATGTAGTCTGAAGCCTGAAGCTTATCATGTTGCATGTCTTAAAAGAAATCATAGCTTATACAAAGACAAGGAATCCCTTTCATAACAGGTCTGGAAATGTTCAGGGTCACACCAGCTGCATGTGAGCCACCTAAAACACCAAATACCTGAACACTTGTCTCCGCACTGTCATTTGAAAACAGCAGAACAACCAAACATTTGCAGAAACACAAGTCAATTCTACTTATATACATTAAATTAAATGAAGCTTGTATCATAGGTACTGGAAAATAAAAAACAGAACATGAGTTACGTTAAATGCAAATGTGTTGTCTTTAAATGTATTGGTGCAGAGTCATTGTGAATCAGTAGCAAAACATCAGCTGCAAATGATACATTTCCTACTCCTTCTTTCCCCTTAAATATAGCTGAGTGTCACACTTAGCACAAAAGGCCACCAGGGATGATAGTGTTTTTTTTCTCAGCACTTTAAAAGAGGTGGAGCAAACAAAGGTGCGGCTTCAGTCCTGCAGCCGAGATCAGAATAACCGCATTGTTACCTGAACAGGACACATAAGAGCTGCAGAGCAAATGTCTAAGAGTCCTTTTTTATTTTATTTTTTTAATCAAACCTTTTCTTTTCTTATGAACATTTGATCCTCACACTTGACCAAAACAGGATGTTGAAGCTGTGTCATGATTTTTTTCAACAAAGCAACATTTCCTTCAACAAACGGACACAAATTAAAACCCAGACTTAAAGCTTGGGCTGCGGCAGCAGGTTGGAGCAGCACTCTGCTATGAATGGTCAAAGGTATGAGTCTCTCTGAAGGATTTTTCTATTTTCTCTGCATAACTGTGAATAAAGAAGCCTTGTGAAAAATTTAATGAATAACATGAAGAAAATAAAAGTAAAAACTCTATTAATTTTCTAAAAGAAATAAAAAAATATATATTTTTTTCTGGCTGTTTTATGACTTTTATCTCTTTTTTTAGCCAGAAAATTGAGAATGGCGACAGACCTGCAGAAACCAGGAGATGTCTGGGCTTCTCAGGGCGCCACAGCCTGTTCCTCTCTCTTGTTTTTGGAGTTATGCTTTTTTTCTACTTCACTAATATGAGGGGCATGTCGCCTGAATGGAACCCCAAACAGTGGATGCAAAGTCATTCAACAAAACTTTTCATCCCTTTTAGTATGCAAAGTAAAACAAATAGTTCCAGATCTAAGGGGAAAGCTGCTGGTGCTTCTTTTGGATTAGCAGAAGATGCCACCACAGCCAGACATCCACAACTTCCATCATGGCTAACAGAGAAGATCCTAATAGCCAAAGCTGCCCGGCAGACAGCGGCTCCTTATGTGTCTCGTGGACTGTACTTGGTAGAGTATCCCTATGAGTACCACTTTACCATAAACGAGCCTCAAAAATGTGAGCAGGAGAAGTCATTTGTGGTTCTTGTGGTACCAGTAGCGCCACATAATCGAGCACACCGTGATGTCATCAGAAGGACCTGGGGGAGCGAGAAGATGATTGATGGTAAAGCAGTGACCTTGTTCTTCTTGCTGGGGAAGAAGACTGAAAGTGATGCAGAGCAGGTCCATCAGCAGCTTGTGCAGGAGAGCAAAGACCATCATGACCTCATTCAGAGCGACTTTGTGGACTGCTACAAAAACCTGACCATAAAGACCATGGTGATGCTGGAGTGGCTGAACTCTTTCTGCTCCAGCGCTGCCTACGCTATGAAAATCGATTCTGACATTTTTCTGAATGTTCCTAATCTTGTCACCATGCTCCAAAATGCTCCAAGGACAAACTACATGACCGGCTTAGTGGTATATGAAGCACAGGTCTTGAGGGATCCCAGTTCCAAATGGTATGTGCCCATGAGCATTCTCAGTGATCCTGTTTATCCTCCTTACGCTTTGGGTCTGGGTTATATTTTGTCTTTGGATCTCACCAAAAAGCTGGTTGAAGCTTCCCAATATGTGAAAGCTTTTTATATCGAAGACGCATATTTAGGCTTGTGTATGTACCACCTGGGTATCCGTCCAGTAGAGCCCCCAAATGAGTTCAGCTTCCACGTATTTCCTCTCATATACAATCGATGTGATTACTCCAAGGTAATCGCCACCACAGTTCACGGATATGAAGATCGTGTGAGCATTTGGAGAGACATTAAAAGACCAGGTCCGCACTGCTGATAGGTTAAATATGTAGGAGACAAATGAAATTAGATTAAAGCAAAATTAGTACAACATTTTATATTTATGCTCTTTGACTAGGAAAATTACCCATTGTTCCCATTTAACCTTAATATCACTGTACCTGTTGTTACTTTTTTTCTGTTTGTGTTGAAATCAGAATATAGTATTTATATATTTTATGTTATTTTATTTATAGATTTATAGGGTTTTAAAATGAGGAGAGCAAGGGTCCTAACAATAAATTCATAAGAAATGTAACCTCTCTCCACAAATACATCTTCAGTTTCTTTTAAAAAAAAATGGCCAATTGGTAATGGCATAGAGGTTCAGGGTAGATGGTTCCAGAATGTGAAAACCTGCAACCATCTAAAAATCCATAGCGTTTAGTTATTGTCTTTGTAACATTCAATAAAAGCTGAAATAATGATTTTAAAAAACTGCCATGCACATATAAAACCTCAAAATTCAGACAATTAAAGAGAAGAGAAACCATGGGAGAGATTTAAAAACAAACTGTAAAAAGAAAGACTGCAGGCAAGTGACATATAACACTTTATGTCAATGCAATGTATTTTTCACGTAATGTTTCTTTTTTCTTTTTCTTTTTTTTTTTGTTAATGTGTATTACTTGAAATTGCCTTGTTACTGAAAGATGTTGTACAAATAACCTGCCCCGCCTTGGCTTGCCTTCAGTTCAAAATGATATGACTCAAGCCGGAGAAGAAATAATGATGCAGAACTAGAGCAGACCTGATCCGCCTTGTGGCACATATGACGAGTCTTGAGTAATCCAAAGTCTAAGATTACATACTGGAAACTCTCAGGTGAAAGTGCATATGTGTTTAAAAACTGCTGGGTGATGTTGAAAAATGAAAAACATACAGATTCTTTTGGCCCTTACAACTGAAGAATATGATTAAAAGAAAATAGCTTATAAGATTTAAAGTAATAAAAAAAAACAATCTTGATATGAATCTTGAGGGTTATAAACAAAAACAAAAAAGCTTATCCTCTCAAAACCCCAAAAGCATTACATATAATAACTCAGAATGCATGAAACTTACACTGGTAAAATGTTTACCAATATAGACATGTTAGACATCATTGGAAAGCTTAGATTCTCCACAATTCCACTACCTAGTTCATTTTATGGACATGGAGAGCACCAAAGCACAATTATAGCAGCATGTAGAAATGTAGCATGACAAAGCAGCCACAACAAGCAAGCATGTCTTTATAACTGCTGTTCAAAAAAGACTTTTTATTTTCAAGAATGAAAAAAACAGCTTTGAGTCATGTTTGAACTGATGCAGCTTGGGCTTAATGCAGCTTGGGTGTTTTACTCACCCAATTTTCATGTATGTATTCAGAAACTAGAAGGTCTTAGCTTTCAAATAACACATCACACATGTAATTTAGGCTTACAGTTCCTCAGTTATTTGCTTTTCCATTTGGGTATGTAAAAAAAGGCAATTTAGCTGAATGAGTAAGTAGTAAGTGGTTAGTTTTTGACTGTTGAAACCTGATATGGAACAGATATCGCTCCAGCACTTTATGAGGGCAGATCCCAACTAGTTCAACCAGTAAGACACATCTTTGTTTGGCTTTAAGATGTGTAACCACCCCTATTCCTGTTATTTCATGTCAATATAACTGTTAGAACTCATGAGAAAATCTTATTTTATGTCAGATCAGCTTCACATCTTGTTTGGTAAGTGAGTAATTAAACTATCCAGGATAGACTCAAAAATACATTTGAACAAGTTGTAATTGTGGAAGATATAATTTGATGAATTTGAGAACCACGGATACAGATACCCTCAGATAAACAGGAATTCACAAAGTGTAATCAAATAAAACTACTGCAAAGAGAACTTAAAAAAACAAAGGTTAAACACAGGTGTAACTAGGAGACAAAAAGGGGCTGGGGTTGTTTGTTTGGCATAGACCAATTGACTTAAATGTTGTACTGGTTAAATGTTTTTAAATGCCTTTATTCATAAGAACATCTATGAATAACAGACCAAAAAATTAGTATCTGAAGATTATAATGGATTTAATTTTACCAGCAGGGAATACAATGCAGCGGACCGTGTAAAATTTCCCAGTCTAATCCCAGCTGGTGGACAAGATGCAATTATTTTATAATTTAGCATAGTGTGTAGAAAGCACTAAAGAAGCTCTAAGCTGGCTAACCAGATGATTAGAGACATGTTTAAAGGATATAAAAATTTATTTTACTTGAAGAACACACTTCTAATAACCTCTCCCCAACTTCATCAGTCCCAGACATTGTCTGTATGTTGTTTTATCCGAAACTGTTTTAATTGACATCCATATTAGCGAATTAATAAAAGTAAGCGCCACCTTCCTGGGAACCATTTCAATAAGCAGGTTTTAAAAACTCAAAATCCTCAACTCTGAATTGATCTAGCCCGAGGTAGGAAACTAAGTTTTCTTTTTCATAAAAGCTGCTATGAATTAGTTCAATCAACTCTAAATAGGTCTAAGTATGAAAACCATTATCAGCGGAGCACTGATTCGACGAGTCAGAATGACAACAGGCAACAGGGAGTCCATATTTCAGATACTGGAACTAGAGATTTTAAAATTATTAGGATGTCTTTAAAAATTCAGAACAACAGCGATACACCTGCAAAGGAAAGGAAAAGGGTTTAGGAGAAGATTGCTGTTCGAGTTAATGCGTAAATTTTAGCCATGTATGGCATGCTGAGTGGACATTTATTAAAAGCACTCTCCTCTCTCTTGTTCCAATTGTAGATCACTATAATAGGATTCTTCCTGGTAAAAATAAAATTCCTAGTCGAAACAGTAATAATATAATTTCTAAAAGACATTTTTGCAGCAGAAACTGAATTCAAAAAATTAAAATAATATATATATATATATATATATATATATATATATATATATATATATATATATATATATATATATATATATATATATATATATATATACTTTATATACTCATACACATTTTAGGTGGCTGTTTTGACATTTATCACTGAATACTTATTTCTGATATCTGAAATATATTTCTTAATTATCAAAATAATGATGTCCAGCAACAATAGGATTATGGAGATCTGAAATTCCTTTTTAGATTTTTTTTAAAAGATATGAAGAATGACATTTTCTTTTAAATATTTATTTTGATGAAGAAAATTTGTATTTATGATATCAAAAAAACAAATTCAGTCAAACTAACACATACATATCAATTTGGCTTGCAATAACCCACAATCACGATTAGATTACGTGGAAAACAAATTTTTTCTTTAATGGTAGTGGATCAATGTATCTACTTAGGTAAAGTCATCTAGCAGCAGGTGAAGATAAGGTCTAAAAACGTTGTTCTAACAGATAGGAGCTGTGCATCAACTTATGGGTTCTTCCTCATGTTGACCATGTAAATACTAAATTAAAGTTTGCAGTTTATTTGGATATTATCATCCCATTAAGTGGCCGTCCTTGCAGTTATAGGTTCCATAGAATGGATTTAATTCCAATTAAAGGTTTATTATTTGTTTATTTAAATAGGAATATTGTCAATAAAGTAGATAAAAAATAAATTAGGAAAAAAGTAAATAAAACTTAAGGTTTTAGAAAAAGTGACTGTGACTGAGCGGAGACTGAGGACACTGTTACACTGAACAAAACCTGCTCCCGACCAGGTTAGCTTTAGGAAGAATGTTACTATGGTAACAGAAACAAAGGTTGAGTAAGCTGTCTTTGTGACACGGAAAACTGATTTCAGGTTTATAAAAGTTTTAAGTTAATCTGCTTTGTGAAAGGAACCGTGGACTATGCCTGATTATTGTTTCTGTTCTGTTTGTTTTTATTATTATCATCAAGATGCTGCTAATTTTGTCAAATATTGAAATCATAAAAAACACCATCAATCACCCAAACCTTTTCTGTTTAGTTTCCACAGGTCAAGGTTGAAATGTTAAATGATAAAATTATAAACAGAGATAAAAATGTAGCAGTAATGGAGACATGATTAGCATCTAGAGGTTTTTTTTTCCTGAGTATCTGTATTTCATCTTGCTCTATGTATGTTTTGTGAGAGTGTCTTGTTAGTCATTCTTAAAAAAACAGATTTTGATTTCAATGAGTTGTTCCTGGTTAAATAAAATACACTACTACTAAATGTAAAGTTGATTTGTGACTCTGCATAGATATTTTCTAACGTATTTTGCCGAAGAAAAACCTACATAGGTAAATGTTTGGTTTGGCCAAGACTCTTTTTTTCTGGACAAGAGGAAACAAAGATTGATTTATACAACACCCATAAGGCACTCTGAATTACTTTGATTGCATTGGGTGCATGATCAATTCTTCTGTTAGAAATCTTGGTTTATGCCTGAACATGTCAACAGATATCCGTTTTGATCCTGTAGCAATCTGACAAACTTTTCCAAACTTAGTCTTTTTGTCCAAGTTGAAAATTTTAGTTCATGTTTGTTTGTTTTCATCTGGATTATTGTAATATGCGTGGTCCAAAAGTCCTACCAAAACGTCCTTAAACAGATTGCAGTCTGTACAGAATGCTGCTGCTAAGCTCCGGCCCAGAACTTCAAAGTTTTTGCAGGTGGTTCTGCTGCTTATGCAGCTTCATTAATGGTTGATTATCAAGTACGTGCCAATATCTTACTCTTGCTTTGGAGAGCATAAGGAGTCTGCATAAACAGACACCAGAACACATCTTTACACTTTTAAGTCTTTATACCCCATGTTTGCCCTGAAGTCCTGTGATAAAGATCTGCCGATTGCCCCCACTAGGCCACTGAAAATGAAAGGAAACAACACATTTTCCTCTACAGCTCCAAAACTCTGGAATTTCCTTTCTCTGATGCTAAGATCAGCAGACTTCCTTTACATTTCAGCTAGACGTGTTTTTGTTTTTTTTTTATCAGCTTTTGATTAATTTTATCTTTGTGTCTCTTTTTTATATTCTTTCTGTGTTGAAGGACACTATGATTTTTATCTTGAAAAGTGCTTTACCTTATAGGACATGTACCTGATGACAGACAGAAAATAGAGCGAGTGATTCTTAAATATAGATATACAAGTGGAGATCTTTCAAAGTTGTTCTCAGTCTAAATGTTTAATTAAGAGCTGCTCATAAACACAAACCTATTTTTATTCCTGATATAAAGGGACGAACATTTTTTCTGCACATATTAAGTTTTTAGACAGTTTGTTCCAGAGTTGTGGAGCATAGAAACTAAATGCTGATTCGGTCAGTCAAATATTAGTACCCCAAACACTGAAAAAAGAAAGAAACATTTTATGTTTTGCAGTTTTTTTTAATATTCTCTTTCTCTATGTTCAGCTTTTGTTACTCAAAAATAAGCAAGAAAAACATGAATACAAGTTCCACCTTTGTGCTTGCTCAGTTAATTTGCTTCCACTAAAGGTTAA